GTTCAATTTTGGGTTTTTTTTCTTAATATAATGTGAAACTGTGAACATGAATATAGAATCAGACTGTCTCCTCAGGGATTTTTTCAGTGGGAATGCTGTTGCCCAGATTTGTGCTTTGTCCTGGCCATTTTCTCCAAGGGATACTCCCGTATAATTACAGTCTTGGTGGTTCATTGACTAAAACTGGCTGGCAAGAGAAAACTGCAAAGGCACAAAAGCAGTTAGCTTGTGGTTTCTGATGGAACTAGCACTTAGACTGCAGTATAAGAATTGCTTTGTGTTTTGGGACTAGAGGCAGGTGAGTGAATGCTAGAGAGTTGTTCAGGCAGTGTGATTTAACCTCTTTTCCCTCTTGATGTATTATTTGCAAATTACTTTTTTTTTTTCCTTTAAATAAAAGTATTTGCTGTTCATCCTTGTGCAAATATCCTATGAAAATAAATGTCAGCCTTTGAAGACAAACAAGAAGGTTTCTGAAAGCTGAAGCAGATGATGTATTACCAGTGCTCAAGCGTAAGGCCAGTTGAGAAGTGACGGGATGTGGCGCATAGCCCCCTCATGGCAATGACAGCTCAGCAGTGGGGTTTGGAGGAGGTGAGCTACACGGAGCCATGCTCTGTGGCAGCATGAGCTGATGTTAACTCAGTGTTATTATACTTCTCCCTGGTCTCATGTCAGTATGTCCCATATGCTGTAGGCAGACTGCTCCTTTCACAGCAGCAGGTGGAGAGGGTAAGATATGTGCAATACCTCATATACCTACAGCCTGACTTCAAAAACATCTTCCTTTCTGCTCTGCTTCCTAGGTTCTTCCAGGCATACCTACTTACACAGGAAGCAATGTAAATGACATGCGTCGGTTGAACTACCATATAACTGTAGTGAATTAACTTGCTGATGTTTATATGCAGCTCCTTTTTGGCAAGACCACAGTTGCGCTTACAGGAGGGCCTCTCAGTGCTCTAGGACGGATCTGCTTTTCCCTGGGAAGGATTGCTCAGATTTTCCCTTTGCTTGAGCTTGTCCTTTGTCACTAAACAGCCAGCATAGCTGTTGTGGTTCTCATTCCCTTGGTTAATACTCTGAAAGTTTTCTCATGGGATTTCTAAACAACTCAGTAAGAGATCTTGTAGGTGAAAGTGTGTGTGTGTCTATGTCCCAAAGTCTCTAAGCAGGCAGATTTGCACAACCACACTCATCCTCTCATGGATTTCATTCATGCATATTCTCACACCCATGCATTCTCAGGTACCAAGGTGTGTGTCCACAAAGTCCAGCCAAGGTTGCTTGTGTGACACACAGGATGAGGCAGTGACTGCTGCATCCTCATCACATCCCTGAGGATGTTCTTGGCAGGGAACAACAAACCAGTTTGAGGTTGCTTTTCGTACCCTTCAAGTGTTGATGCTTACAATTTTTTCTTTATTCTTTTTTCTCATCTGTTGTAGTTCTCAGGCAAACTTAATGAATTCTAGTTCTCTCTCTTCATCCTCCAGTAGTATTGATATTTTCTGACGCCAGTCCTGTTCTTCATCTTCTCGATACCTTATCTGTAGGTCAGTTTGTTCTGCTTCATTAAATGAATGTGCTATTCATTTAACTCATGCTCTGCCTATCCTTCTGGTGCCTGCTTTTTTGCCTGCTTGCTTTCACACATATATACACTCATACATGCACACTCTTTTACTTTGCCTTTGTTCATCACCAGTATTAATACTTCAGATATGAATCACTGCATGCAGACTTAATGGAGTAATGTGTCTGGCCCCAGTACTGTTCATTCTATGCCAGAATGTGTTTCTGTGCATTAGTAGTGAGGTTACTTTGGGTCCATCAATCAGCTCCCGGAAATGCATGAATCCCTTGTAAGAAGGAACATAGTTCACACCAGCTCTCCCCACGTCAGGTTTGCAGACTGTGAGGCTACTGAACATTGATTTGGTCATTTCTGTAGCAGAAGGACATACAGGATAGTGTGCCAGAGGAGGATTTCTGTGTGGTGTTTCCACATTTCCCAGCCACAGCTATATGCTGTGCAACGAGCCTTATATGTTCAGTGTCTTGTGTTTGTGGTGCCTGTGGGGCTCAGGTTTGCATCACATGTGTGGTAAGACAGTTGCTTTCAGGATGGATCATACTTACAGCGTGCAGAGCAGTTCTGCTACGCTGGTTGCCTGGGTTCAGTTTCTGTGCTTGTGATGTCCAGTGCTGCTGGGTGTCCATTGATGGCACAAAAATCTGTCCCACATGTCCTGAGCATGTCTGATTTCACTGCCCAAGTACTGGAGGACCGCTTTGTATACAGGTTTCAACTTGCCCATATGATTGCTTGCCTAGGACTTAATGGAAATTAGGCATCAAAGTTGGATGTGCTGTGCAGAATAGAAATGCTGGGCAAGGAAGCGAAATCTTTTCCTTCCCTGTCTCCTTGCCCACACAAAATTTTCCAAGTAGAAAAAACAGATGTTTCCTGGAGTTTTTTGTATTGATGGTAACTTCCATGGTTTGTGTGTCTGGCAAGGGCTTTCTCCATGCTCCACAGAGTAGTTGAGGTGGAAACCTTTTCAGTGAGTGGGGAGCTGAAGCTTTCTTACTGTGATTTGCCACAAGTGGATGATTCTGATCTCTGTCTTGTAGTGATTTTGTTGGTAATTTATCATGTGAACTAGGGGTAAATTGCAGCCTCAGAGGCCTCATGCCTGGGTGCATTGTGGCACCTGGGGGGAGCATCAGCAGGGTACAGGGGTTCACCTTTTCTGGTGCTGGGGCAGAGCTGGGAAAAGGCTGACTGATAAATGCTTGCTAAAACTGGCAATACTGAATCTTTTATCATCTAAAATTGATGCCAGAGATGTTGGAAAGTCGGGAGGCTGTCCTGATATGTAGAACATTTCAACAGAGATGTGATATTTCATATACAAGGAGTGCCTGCTGAAGTCACTTCAAAGTCATGCTCGCCCAGCTACAACAAGGATTATTATCTTTTGGTCTTCTCCAGCTTCTTTTAGAGAAAAGGTCAAAAAATTAATCGTATACATGTGATAATTCAGAGGGGAAAAAAATAGATGCTAAACTATCTCTGAAGTTATTTCCTTCCTCTACAGTGGATAACTGCTGCATATGTGACATAATAATATAACATTTTATTATTTGCACATCTCTTTCTGACTTCATATGAAGGTTGTTCTCTTGGTTATTTTTTTTTTAATCTGATACTAACCTAAGTAATGCAGTTGAAGTGCTGAAGCCTTACGTACCTAATGCAGACTTCCCGTTCCTAGAGCAACAAAACTTGTCCTGGTACTTAATGAAGGACTACTGGAGTGTGAGTAACTATACTTTTAAGATTTGGAAAAACAAACAGAACAGCTTTGTATTTGGAGATTAAAGAAATAAAGCGGAAGTGACCTCTTTGCATAGAATTTAAAAAATCACCTAGGCTTGGGATACTTCATTAGTAAGAATAAAACCATATTAATGTCATAAGGAGCTCTGTTTTAATCTAGTTTTTCTAATTAAAATGTAAAAGCCTTTTGTAGCGAGTGAGAGTCTTTGAGGGTTCCTGCCTGCTGCCTTTCTTTTCCAGAGCGGTTGTGTTTGTGGTTAAGCTAATGTAAATTGGGATTGCCTTGCAACAGATATGGTTTTCATATGTATTGGGAAAAATCCATGGATAGTATTTGTCATTGGCTGAAAAGGGGAGAGGAAAATGCGTGATGTTTAACTCTACATTTGATCTACAAGCTAGTTCCTGGTGAGGTAGATTAAATCTGTTACACTGATAAACGCTAAACAAGCTACAGATGAGAGAGGGAATGAAGGAGTAGCTGTCATCTCTTCCTCTTATTTTATAGCTTTTCAATTACAATTTTAACAACCATTAAATCCTAATTTAAAACAACCATAGGAAACATCCCAAGGAAAAGCAATGATGCTGACAACAATGTATCGTGAATGCTTACCAGCCTATGTTTCTGTATCAGCATGCCGATAAGTACTACACAACTTGTGGCAGGTTTATTGTGCTTAATTATTCATTTGTAGAAGTGAATGTGAGCGAATGGGAAATATGAAATAGGGGCTTCTGTAGCAATCTTACTGGCAGAAAAATTGTTCAAATATATTTCCACAAGGCAGTCCAATTTTTCTGCTATTTCTTCTGTGATTTTTTTATGTTGTTGTTTACTTTGTGGGTTTCTTAAAGCTGTGATGCTGATATATTTCTCTTCATTTCTGAGGACTGAATAACAGTAGCCAGAGCTCGGGGTTTAAGGAAGCTTAACAGAGCTCACTTGTTACAAGGCAGCTAAGATGACCAAGAATGCCAGTGATTGTAGTAAATTGCCGCATGGCAAAAGGGAGGATGAGGAACAGGATAGGAGAGGTGGAAGGCTGGCTCCTTTGAAAGTTGATCAAGATTAGTTATTGTGAAAACAAAAAGCAAACCAGAAACAACCCACTCCGCAAAATCCAGCTTGGAAACAGCTGAGTTGTTGCATATTAAACTGTGGGCAGGTGGCATCCCATATGAGCTGGGAGCCTGTACCCTGCTGAGAGCTGTGCTCTTCTGCCTCCCAGCAAACTGATTGGAAGGTTACACAGCATCTCGAGAAGTGTGAAGAGGCCCAACCCAAAATCTTTGGGTTGTGCTTTACCCTTCATTCCCGTTCAAAAACAAGTATCTTACCATTTGGTAAAATGGTTCTCTAGGCAGAGACTGAAGAAAAGCTGACAATGAAGGTACAGCAGATCTGCAGGAGATATAATAGGTGTATGGAAGTTGCGGTGTTTGTGCCACAGGCAGCACTTAATGGGATTCGCTGTAGCTGCAATGGTACTTGAAGCCTAAATACAGGAGGAACCAAGATTTATGTGATTGTGCATAACTTTGGTCAAGGTCTTGAAGGACGTTAGCTCTCTGAAAGCTTCATAAAGAGATGCTCTGTGGATGCCTTTGCTGGAGGGGGGGCTAATGGATTTGCTTGTGCTCTGTGTTTCAGGGATAGAGCTCTGTCCTCCTGGGCACCGGTTCATGATCACCATGGCGGCAAGCTTCATTGAAATGGCTGGGCAGTTCCTCATGCCAGGGCTGGCTGCCCTCTGCAGGGACTGGCAGGTCCTCCAGGCAATTATCATCTGTCCTTTCCTGCTAATGCTGCTTTACTGGGTGTAAGTATTTCTTCCTCCTGTCGTGACAAAGACAAGATGTGCTCCCGGTGTTTGACTTGGGAGGTGTTTCACTGTTGGGAGATGTGCATGCTTTACAAAATGTACAAGTCTTTCCCTTTGTTCTTCCATTCCCCTTTTGCAAAGATCTGACTTTGCAATAAGAAATAAGTTTATAATTTGCTGTAGCACTCACATAGGTTACATGCTGCGACATGGTGGTAACTCAGGAGAAGGTCCTCTTTCAACAGCAAAGTTGTACTTTGCTATTATTCAGTCTGTCACTTGGCCTTTGAAGATGAAAACAATTCTTGAGAGGATGCATCTCAGCCGAGCTATTGTCAGACTGTGTCTGCACAGCTACATTTTCCCTTAAAACCTGTATTGTTGTTCTGGGCTGTCACTGTTGGTTTCTTTGGCCAGGGTTAACCAAAGCTAGGTTCAAAATAACATATGTCAGCTCTTGAACAAGCGCACTTGGATGTCCTGTGTGCATGTGGCAGCCAGCCCTGAGCTAGACTGCCTGCTCGGTTTTGCCCGAATTAGCCCATGCTGTGCCAAAGCTTGGGTGGACACTGGGGCAGTGTCCACCAGGCAGTGGCTCGGGATTGCTCCCACAACAAATCCTCCTCTCCTGCTCCTCTCTGCCTGCTGCACCAGCAGCACCGCAGCATTGGTACAGCTATTCTGAGAGAAGTGGAGTGGCTTTTGCCTTGGGGACAGTGCCAGGTCCATCCCCACCAGGACTTTATCAACCTTCCCAAAAAAATTCCTTTGTTGTTCTGTCTTAATAGTGATACTCAGTGGTGGCAAAACCAAAAAAGGCTTATGAGAGCAGTGTTGTACAAAGCCATAACAGTAAAAACACACTAGTTTGTTCATTTTAAAGGTAACACTTTTTTGTGTGTACTGTGAGGAGCCAAACTGCCAGTTGTAATGACTGACAAGTTACAACATGTAAAAACTTGTTACAGTACATAAGAATTTTTGTCAGTTATATGTTTTTTCTATTAGCACATGAATGCCTTACAGAGTTCTTCTGTGTTCATGGTGGTAACCCTCTGGGGATTTCTTCTCTTGTCCTCAAGGTAGGATTCCACAGCTTGGGCTGAAGGCAAATGTGGCACACAGGAGAAAGTTGCAAGTCCTTTGCAAGATAATGTTTTGGTTTGGTTTTCCTCCTCTCCTCCCATTTTCCATCATATAGCATCTAAACAGTCTCATCTTGTCAGTGTTAATCTTTATGATGAGTAACCACAAGTGTTCTTGTTAATGTGCTGTTCTCCCAAACCTGCCATATGTTATATATGTGCAAGCACGTGCAGGTCTGCTGCAAAAGCTCCTGCTTGGATGCCTGCCAGCTGAAATGATTTGTATCCACCACTGAATAGAACCCAATATCGAACAGATATTTGTGTCCAAAAGGACAGTGCAATAGCATGAAGACATCTAACGAATGAGGTAATAATGTGGACAGCAGTAACCCCTCATCAGTCTTCTGGAGGTGACACATTTTCCAGGTGGCTGAGTCAGGGTCTCATACATTCTTGCTGGGAGGTTGTCTCTGGGTGACATTGAAAGCAATAGGAAATGCTAACATTTGTTTCCTAATCTGCAAGGGCTTTTTTGCTTTTAGGCTGAACGGGACAGGCAGACCAGCCAAATAGATCCCCTGTATATAATGTGTGATATGACAGCTCGATAAGCAGTGGCAATAGCCAAAGTAACAGGATTTGTGTTGCCCAGTGTTTTTGCATTTGCAGAAATGAACTCTGGTTAGGATGCCTGTTTAATTATACTGTTGGTACAGTATGCACTCTTCTCTTAGGCTTTTCTTTCCCATCTGTTGCATGTTCTCTAGAAAGTGCTGCCATTTTATTACCTCTTTCCTTTCTGCGCCTCCCCTCTTCCCCCAGCATTGTGTTGGGGAACAGAGCATGGACCAGCAGCATATGTTACAGATGAAGGAAGAAAACAGACTTGTAATGAAAGAACTAGAAAATTGCACTGCTCATTAATTCCCCGTTGTGTACCTAAAGCAGTGAGTTCAATAACAGATGCTGTGATTGCCCCTGTCCTGCCTCCTCCTTACTCTCTTCCATCTCTCTGCAAAGAGCTGTTTGCCCCTCCTGGCTGGGGCTTAACCCTTTCCCACCTACAGGTTTGCTCTGCTCCTGACCATGTGCACATGAGAAGCTATATACACCTCTTTCATTCTAACCAAAACTGAAGAATCGGGAAGGGGTGGCCAGTTCTCTTCTGGTACTGTTAGGTAGGATTTAAGTGTTCAAAAACTGTGTAGATGAGGCCCTCAGTGATACGGTTTAGTGGTGGTCTTGGCAGTGCTGGGGTAATGGTTGGACTTGATCTTAAAGGTCTTTTCCAAACTAGCTGATTCTATGATTTACCCTGACAAGACACAAATTTGTAATAACTGGGCTTGTTGCCCTGGGGAAGACCTCTAATTGACACACTACACCCTTTTATGATGTTGTGGTTTAAGCCCAGCCAGCAACCCTGAACCATGCAGCTGCTCGCTCACTCCCCCACCTCTTCTGCCCCAGTTTATATACTGGGCATGACGTGCTGTGGTATGGAATACTTCTTTGGTTAGTTTGGGTCAGGTGTCCTGTCTCTGCTTCCTCCCGGCTTCCCCTCCTCCCTGGCAGAGCATGAGGCTCAGAAAATCCTTGGTCAGAGTAAATATTACTGAGCAGCGACTAAAAACATCGGTGTTATCAGCGCTGTTCCCAGGATGAAAGTCAAAACCACAGCACTGCACCAGCTACTAAGAAGGAGAAAAATGACTGCCACTGCTGAACCCGGGACACGTGAGCATGAGTTTGCTCTGCATCTGGACAGGATCATAGTTCTCCTTCAAGCTACTTGTGGTACCTTCCTGGCCTCCTTCTGTCTGTCAAGGGTTCTTCTCTGCTCTTAGGATTTCTTAGGCTTAGGATCTTTTTTTCCTCCACCCACCTGTCCCCTGTTCTTCTGTTGGACTGCAAAAGGCTGGTGTTTTCCTTGCTGATGGAGGAAGTAGAAGATTATCAACCAGGTGCCTGCAGTCAGCTCAGCTTGATGATCTGAGCAGCTGCCTGCCCTTGGCAGAAAGCTCTCTTAAGCTTCATTCAACTAGTATTTAATGCCAGGTGATGACCAAATTCCCATGCAGAAGTTCACAGAGGCCAGGGGTTTGGTTTTTAAGTTTGGGATGGTGTTCCATTCAGCAACAGAAGGTGCAACAGTAGGTGCATAGAAACGACCCTTGGCAGTGGGGTCCACGCTGCCCAAGTGAGCTCAGGCACTTGCACTCAGATGGGGTGGCCAGCATTTCTGCTTGCTGTGCCTCATAACCTGGGCTCAAAGCAGGCCAGGAGTTTTTAAAGATCCTTAATTGAACCTCTCACTGCTCACACAGGGTAGTGGAGCAGTGAAAGGTGTGAGGCTTCAGCACTTCCAGTTTGAGAAACCTGCTTGAGTTGGAAGGTAGAGATGGCATTTGTCCCCACAATGCCCATCCCTGCAGCTCTCTTCCTTTCCCTAGGAGTGGGTGCTTGCCATGGGGTTTGTTGCTTGGTAAGGGGATCATTCAGAAACACAGCTTTTTAGGCTGATGGCTGAGGCTGTCCCCTTTTTGGAGCCAAGCACCAGGGGATTCTGCATTCAAAGAATTCTTAATATTTCAAGAAATGCTTTTGAGTGCAAGACTTTCTACAGGAGGATATGCCAAAGCATTCATGCAGCACCAGTGGTAGTAAATAAGCTGTCAAGCTGCATGGCTGTTATAATACTTTTATTGCCTAATATCATGTGGATAGCAGACTGCTTGACTTCCCTCCATCATGGGTCTTTTTCCCTCTTTTTCAAAATAATCATACTTTCTCTAAGATGGAGGTTTCACTAAGCTGTCTTCCAAATTGCATCAGACTTAAAAGCATCATAATGATGCAATTGCCTGGTCCACTGCTTAGAAGTATAAGAACCAAGGTAGCATCCACAGGAAAGATCAGTGTTGTGAAGGACTTTTGAGGGTTTTTTTGTATACTTGAAGTTAGAAGTAGTTGTTAAATTTGTTCTTAGAAAGGTTTTTTTGGAAAATGAGGCCTGCACAGTAAAGAAAAATATGCTTGGAGTCAACTGAAAGTTTATATATCTGTAGTATGGGAGGTTTTGGTTGGTTGAAGATCTACATATTTGGTTTGGTTTTGTATTAAAATAAACTCATGTTAAAGGAAGACTAATCAGTTAAGCTAATGAATCAGGTGAATATCAGCACTTGAAGGAAACGCAGATGGGAAATAAACTTTATCTTGTAACACTGTGTGCACATGTATATTTTTAAGGCAACTCCACTAACATAACGTTGTCTTTATCTTGAGAAACTTTTAGAGCAACAACTGGTTGTTGTCTGGAGTATGCACAATACTGACCCATATAAAATAATGGCTTAAAGTCTGCATATGTGGGAAAAGATCTTTATGTGTTTAAAAATTTAAATAGCTGTTCCATTATAATTCTAAAATGTAATTCCTCTCTTTCATCTCCCTGTCTTTACAAAAGAATCCAAATCGCTTCTGTCAGCTATTTTCATTCTTTGGTCTGAAATGCCGTGTGTTAACTGCATATCTCATTCATTCCCTTCTTGGCAGCAAGTGTCTATTGCAGACAGTGCTGCCTCCTCCCAGTTCTTTCAAAATCATATTAACGGGTAAAATGCCCCTAATACATTATAAAATTCTAATATGTCCTATTTCTGTGTGGCAGGACAGTTCCTGTATCGTTTGTGAATCAGTGTAAAAGAAAATACCGTTAATTTGCACATTCTGAATTTGTTTTCCCTCGTTTCATAAGTGATTCTTCTTTTTTGAAAGTAATTACATAGCTCATGAATAGTTAAATGAGCAGCTACACATTATCGGTTCTTCCTCTGACAAAAACTTGGAAGCAACCCTGACCTGTTTTCCATCTTTGAAGTATTTTCCCAGAGTCCCTTCGGTGGCTGATGGCTACGCAACAGTTTGAGGCATCCAAGGAGCTGATTCTTCAGTTCACACACAAGAATAAGATGAACACAGAAAGTGACATCAAAGGAGTGGTGCCCGGTGAGTAGGACAGACAGACAACCTCAAATCCCCCCACTCTTCTCAAAAGGCTGCACGTGACATTGCTGACCATAATTAAACAATCTATTTACTGCCCATGAAATCATCCCATTCATTCATTCATCCATTTTCCTTTTGTTGAAAAACCATTCCAGACTCCAGCAGTGTTTAGAATTACTCGGCCTGTTGAACAGTCCTAGTAATTGCACTTTCATCTTGCACTGCCATATGTTTTTAGAGACATCTCCTGAAGAATTTTGCCAGTTACCCAATGCTCCTTCAGCCCTGTGTGTCTCTGGAAACTATGTTCTAAGGAAGCTGCTCACTGGGATCCTGCCCTCATACAGCACTTACTCTGTGGGTTTGAAGAAGCAGCAGCACTTGAACCCCCAATTCAAAACTGCCCCCTATGACAAACCTAAAACGTTACAGTTTCTCTTTAAAGCCTTTCTCCAAGAGCCATTTTGCTTTTCTCTCGTGCATCATCTGAGTTATGCTGTCCTGGGGATTGAGTAGGCCTGCAAGTAGTAGCAGTAGGGTGCAGGTTTTGGTTCAGAGTCTTAATTATCAGTTCCTTGGTTTACTGATGCTTTTAGAAAGAGATGATTTGTCTTGTCACTGGGATTGTCACTGAAATAGCCATGCTGCGTTTGTGCAGGGTGCTTTGCAGAAGAGACTGTGAGTTTGTCTCTAATTACAGCAAAGGTGAAGAGCTTCTGCATCTTCACCTCACTGGTGCATCTGTCACGTTTGCTTTGGGCTCCCCTCTTCCTTGTCACAGGCCTGGTGGTGCCCATAAGCACCTGTTTTGCACTGTCACTTGCAATCTGTATCAGACTACAGTCAGAAAGCAGTGGAAATGTTTATTTTCTCCCCCAATTTTTCAAGCCCTACTTGCTCTGACCCAGGGGCAACAGGGGCATGTCACCCAGTAGCTTTGCCCATGGGTAGGAGTGATGCTTGGCTTGATATTCACTGTCAAGGGTCTCAAGCTACAGGGGTAACCGTAGCATCAGTCAGCACTGGGACAGACTCCACCCAGCATAGAAAAGTGTCACCGTTAGCATCAGTGCCTAACAGATGAGGCAGTCTTCATCACTGAGAGGTGAAAAAGTCTGATTTGGGTCTGTGGTCTTCAAACCCAGGTCATTGCTCTGATTTCTGACGCAGTTGCCATATTGATGTTAATTAGCCACAGCATGGCTTTGCTATGCTAAATGCCATTTTTCTGCTAAGGTTGTGAAAAGCATAGGGGTATATGAGCAGCCATTAACCTAATGATCTCCACCCCCACAACTCCTTTTTGCAGATCTTCCCCAGATCAAAGATGGGTCTTGGAGAAATCCTGTCTCTGAGGCAGTGAAATGTCTCACAATTGGACTTGGAGTTTCCCAGCTAACTCTACATTTGGTTTTTCTCAGCTAGTCAGCTTCTTGAATTTGCAGGTGAAATAAAATGGTTCTTAGGGGAAAGAAGAAAATAAATTACCTGAGTTTCCTTTAAGGAAGATGATAAAGGTGCAACTGTGTGGCTAGAGGGATTTATTTAAGCCATGTATAATGATATTGTCCATGGAGGAATGCTAAGTGTCAAAATGGTTTTATGACTGTTATTTGTGACTGATTACTTTTTCCATCAGTTTCATGGTAGGAGCACGCTTGGTTTAAGGAGGAACTTCCTTTCATATGGAAACTAGAGCATTATTACACATCTTGATGCTATGATTTCTCTGCCTGCAGATACATTTAGATATAGCAGCTGTCAGTGCAAAGGGAAGTGTAAACTTTGTGATACAGAATATGGTCATTGATACTGGATTTGTTGGGGGTATTGTTGGGGTTTTTTAGTATTTCTTCCCTCATTTTTCTCTTTAAGTTCTCTCTGCACCCCTACACTCTAAGGCTTTCCTGACCCAGCTCTGGAGGGATGACACATTTCTGTAGGGGAGAGTAAGAGAGAAGCAGTATCAAAAGGATTAAATGAGCTTAACTACAAATTTCAGAAGGAAGGACCTTCCCTCTCATTCTGGGTGTGTGGGAGTGTTGATGCTCTGAGTGAAGGCAGGAGAAAAGTCGAAATCCTGAGTGAAGATTGTGATCAAATGACAGGTCTTGTGTCTCCCAGTGGGTTAGTAAGCAGAAGAAAGCATTTCTCTGCTTTTGTTATAATCACGTTCCTATAGTTGCTGTAGCAGGGAGTGGATAAAAAGCTGATACACATCTGTGAGAAAGGATACCCTTGAGCCTGATGCAGATATTCCCTATTTCCTCTTGACTCCATTGTTGAGCTTTCCTGTCTGTGTGGAGGGTTTTTGTTCTTGATTTGGTTTATTCTTTGTTCTCCATCTGAAAGAGCTGTAAACTGTTTTGCTCTAGTTAGGGACCATTGTATTACTGTTTATTATTTCTTGCTGCATTGTCCTAACTGCCTCCCAATACATTTAAATGACAAACTGCTCACTTGCAGACCTTTCCAGCTGGAAACCCCACTCTAATTTTACTCATGTGTAGCAGTTTAATTAGTGTATCCTATAAAAGAGATCATTACAGGAGTTACAGTAGTCTCTGGGTTTGTTTAGAATAGAGAAAAGAAGGATCTTGGGGACCTTATCACCATGATCCAGTTTTTAAAGAGTGGCTACAAAGAAGATGAAAACTCCCTTTTTACAAGGAGTCCCATGGAAAAGATACGGGGTAATGGATACAGATTACTCCTGGAGAGATTCCAACTGAACACAATAAAGAATTTTTTCACAACGAGAACAGTCAGCCACTGGAATAATCTCCCCAGGGAAGTGGTGGATCTCCCAACCTTGGACACTTTGGAGATTCGGCTGGACAGGGTGCTGAGGCGTCTAGTCTAGACAGTTCCTTTGCCAAGAAAGGTTGGACCGGATGATCCTTGAGGTCCCTTCCGACCTGATATTCTGTGATTCTATGATACGTACCCTTTTTGGCAGCTGATAAGAGTTCCATAACAAAAACAAGTAGCATTCAAGTGGGTGAGGTATTTTGGGGATGTGAGAAAATGCAACTTTGACTTGCTGTCCAAGCAATGAACAGGCTTCTTTTACCTTATGAAGAGTTGCACTATTCATATTGCCAGCTGAAGGCTTTTACTGGTCCATTTGGGTATGCCCCCCATAGTAGAAAGTGCCACTAAAGTTCTGTAAGGCCTGCTTGGTCCTTAGAGACTTGGCATTGGGTGGAAAAAAAAAGAAAGTAAAATATGTCTGCTGGTTTTGACTCAATCCATAGGGTGGGAGCAGTTCAGCAGTGCTCTTATGGGAGATGTCTCTGTAGAGAATAGCTGAATGTCTGGACAGTGGTCTGGCTGCAGTTTGAAAGGTCCTGTGGCTGTGCTAACCCCTTCCTGGAGAAATCAGCACAGGCAGCTGATGGGCAGTGCTTAGCCGACAAGGTAGTAGGGGAATGCCTGCATGGTAAACAAAGTGAGACAAGGGATGCTGATAGGAGGCCTGAATGTTGTAAATAAACATTGCCCTTATCTTCAGTAGCCTGTCCCAGGGGTGTAACATAGTGATGATGATGGTTGCAAAACACAAGAAGAGCTGCTCCCTCAGTACCTTTTAAGTGGCTTTATTTTTGAATGATTGGTATACCTGCTCATTTTGGGCAGGAAAAAAAATGCCTTCATAAAGAGATGTTTGGCTTTATGTGCTCTTTTTTCTTTAATGCTTACAAAATCTATGTTGTGTTTATTAGACCTAGTTAAATCATCCCTAATGTTTTGAGTCTCAAAATTTCACCAGTTAGCTCAACACTTTACCATCTTTTAGAAATTAAAGTTTAAATGCCTTTTTGCATCAGGAGAATGCTTATTCTGTTTTTTTAATCCAACTGCATATTGAAATGTCGTTTGTAAAACAGACTTGGTGAATTTTGTTGACAAATATTTGAAAACATTATTGGAAATGTCAGCTTCAGTCATAGGCAAATGAAATATTTTGATAATAGTTATTCAGTACAGATTTTTCACTGCCAGTTTCTCCAAAAACTTCTCCATCTCTTCCCTGTTCCTCTGTGGAAGAAGGAACAAACATGCATTTCAGTGCAGCTGCAGTGCAGTCATTTTTACCCAAGTGGGGTAAATGGTTAGGAAGTGTGGAGATCGGTTTAAAGAACTAGAGAAAAGAGTGTTTATAACTCCTTGACCAGGCTGAATAACAAAACCCTCTTTTTGCTCATGTCTAGATGAAAACACAAACCAGAGTGCTCATGTGGACAAACACTTTATAGCTGTTCCTTTCCAAGGTTCCTCTCTAAGCTCAGAGAAATAATACTGATGTAATTACAAAAGTGACCGGCAAAGATCAAGCATCCAAATAAAGGCCAGTGCTTTAGCATGCAGAACACAAGGTGGAGAGGAAGAAGGGATATAGTGGTGACAGGTGCTCTGTGTCTATGTATGTGTGTGGATTGGAGTTAGGAAAGCTGTGGTTTTCAGAGGCTTTTAATTAAACAAAAGAAAAGAAAATTATCATCACCATTCTTGCTACTGAGCTGCACGCTGCCGTGACTTTCCTTTTTATACATAAGCTAGTTTTCTGGTTTGTTTTATTATTTTTCCTAAGCATGAGGCTTGGATCTGTGTACTTACATGCTTTTTTTTTTTCTTTCTTTCATTGGGTAAAGAGCAGAAGGAAGTATGAACAAGCCGTATGTCTGAAAGTCAGTCTCTTTCCCTAATAGAAAAGATTAACTCTCCCAACAAAGTTTTACTCATATCCTTACACCCTCACACCTACTACTACAGTACTGTTTTGAAGCTTGTAGTAGATTAAGAGCTAGGTGTATTAGCTTGAGAAAGGAAGCAAGTTTCCTGACCCCATAATACATGTGATGCTACTACTTACAAGCCTGCCAGATGTGTTGCTTTACCAGATCCTGGTTTTTGGTTAATGGTGCCAAACAAAATGAGAGTCTTAGGGGAAAGTCAGATAAATGTGGGGAATTTAGTTAAAACAGGTCAAGGTGCTACTTGAAGGCAGCCTTTAAGTCTTACAAAAGACTGTGTGTTAGCCACAGAGATTTCTATTGTCAAACAAAACCAGCTAGTGATTTCTGTTACCTTCTTGTATATTAAATCAGCTTTCAGGAGGGGTTAGGTTTTTCCTGGTGGTCCCCTCTTTTCCAGGAGTGGGAACCAATGGAGTTTGTGCAGTTCTTTCAGGATAGGCAGTACTTGACAAACAATGAGTAACAAGAATGAAATTCATCAGTTAAGAAGTCCTCTACTGCTGGCTATGCCTACAGGAATGGAAGAGGAGAGCCTGTGCATTCCCTGACTGTATCCCTGATGAGGGCAGTAGTGACCTCTGAGAGCAGCAGGATTTGGAGGGGACAGAGAGAAAAAGGAAGTGCTCTACTGAGTACATGCCTTCTTATGTCAGTGGGAAAAGCCAAATATGAAAGAAAATAATAATAATTAAAAAAAAAAAAAAGGGGGGTTGTCAGCCTCTATTTAAGCTTGAATGACTCTTTCACACCAGTTGAGTCCTCCACAGACTCACGCTGGCCACACTCCAGCCTGTCGCAGCTGCTTTGTGCCCAGCCCACACAGTGGCTCTTTGTCCCCAGTGCTACCTTTCCTCTTAGAGGAACTGGCTTCACAAGGCAGGAACTGCATGGGGAGGGCTGGCAGCAAGCCTTGGTGCTGCCAGTTCTCCTCTGGCCCCTCTGCGCTGAGGGGAGAGGATGAATGAGTCTGGATGTGGACATGAGTGGTAGGAGAGGAGACCTTGGGAACCAAGCAGGGGTAGAGAGAAGTACAAGGGGACCAGTGGATAAAGAAGAGAGGAAATAAGAGTATGAAGAGTTGTGGGGGCAAAGAATAAACATAGTTGGAGGGGACTAAGACAAAGGGAGCAAAGGACTGAGGAATTAAGAGCTGTACAAGAAGAGGAGTGGAGAGCTAGAGCATGGAGACCAAAAGGGCTGCAATCATTTGCTTTTCCCCTCCCTCTAGAACAAGCTGTTGAGCCCAGGGATTCAGTCTCAGCACTCTTGTGATATCCACCCCTAAATTTCGTGCTTCACCTCTTCATACTGCCCAGCTCGCCTCCTCTGCCTGCTGAGGTTTCCTCCATAGCTCTGGCAGTAGATAGTACCAATGCACGTGCAGGTATCTGAAACCTCTTCATGGCTCAGATACAGCTCCTTGCAATGATATTTGAGGTGTTCTTTGTGTTGGGTTTTCTTTAATGTTGGTGATGTTAGAGGAATGTAAACGTTGACAAGTCAAGCTCTGTTGAAATGCAAGAAGTCAGGTTGCCTGGGTAACCCTTGCTTGGCCTCCTGGTATGAAGGCATGATGACATAGCCCTTAATAACATGATTACGACCTATTTTTTCTACAGGGCATAGGATGGACGAATCAGTGCATAGGATGGACGATGCTGTGGGAATGAAGCTGTTGTCTGTTCCTCATTTGTTGCAGAATTTGGAAGGTGTGTAGTGAATAAGATAGAGGGTTGAAGAAGGAAAGAGGACAGCCTTGGGGAAATGAATCTGAATGCCTTCTGAAGGGCTGTACCCATTCCCTGTGTCTGCCAGAGATGCTCTTGTATGATGATGGAAATTTCACTGGAATCAGGCTCTTTCAGTGCTGTCACTAATCACAATTTCTTCAGTGTCTGTCTCAGGCATGTAAATCTGGCACTTGATTTGCAGAAAGCTGAGAGCATTTACATCAGCATCTTTAAGGGTTACTGCTGTGTGAATTTTCTCGTTCTGGACACAATTTCTCTGTATTTTATCTTCTTGCCTGCAAAACAGAAATAATCTTTCTCCTTACTCTTACAAGAAAGTGGTGGAGATGGCTTCATTGGTATTCATGAAATACATGAATATTCTGACAGCACTGTAGGAATGTCTCTGAGGAAACCTGTGATTTTGCAGTCTCTGGGAGGCTTGGATAATAAGGCTAAGGGGCACATGTTGAGTGGTAAAGGTAGAGACATCATTAATAGCTGCCCATTTGCTGACTGCAGGGAGCATTCTGGGGGAAAAACTAATGTGTGATCATCTAATTAAGTGCTGTATCATAATGCATATGAGCTATTGAGGATTGCAGTTGCAACCTTATGTCTGGTTTTTCCTATCTTTTTTCAATGTAATTGGAGATTCAGGATTGAAACAAATTATTGCAATCAGTCCTTTGCTGCTACAGTTATTGAGTTATACAGTTGCTTTCATGAAATGAGTTTCATTTTTAAATGCTGTTGGTATTTATGACCTGTGCTTCTGTTGGAAGGCCATTCCAGACTTCAAATTGCTCTTGTACTCAGGTACATCTTAGCGTTCAATACAAAAATATACTATAGGTGTCCTGGTTCTCTGTGGCTTGGGATATTTAGCCTTCCCATTTGATCCTGTCTGTGACTACCTTAAATCTTTTTTTTCCTATGCTATGTGAGCAGACAGCAGACCTGTTCCTTTGCTGAGCTGAGGTCCTCTGCCTCCTTTCCTTTTATAAATAGGCTTGCTGAAGCTTTTGTTTCTCAGGTATTGATACCCAAAATTGTGAAAGAGCACCAGTAGCTCGTCTGAATTGCAAATATTCATAGACACAATAAACTGGAGTCTTAAAACGACTTGTGTTCAAGCAATATATAGCCAAGTCTAAAACAGTATCTACTAAAAGCTTACCTTCCAGCAGAAGCATTTCCCATTAGTCCCTAAGTATCTTAGCTTGTATTTTACATTTTTAGTTGCTTTTGACACACAGGGTCTCAAGCTCACCTAGTTCCCTCTAACATCCCATTTCTGTGCTGTACTGCAGGCAGTGCCTCACTTTGTGACCAGCAGACTTCATTGGCACATTCCTAAAGTTTGTGCCAAGCTCCCAAGTGAGGTTATTAAACAAGATTTCTTTTCCTTTTTTTGTTTTGAATGAGTAACCCTGCCACTAACCTCCTGCTATCCGCTGACGATTCCCATTTTTCTATCCCGTATTGCTGTCTGCTTATCAGTCAGCTGTTTACCCATCTCATAATTTCTGTATGTGACCTGATAGATTTCAATATTCCTTTATTTTAACTCTTAGGCTTTCCAAAAATGCAATACATCAAGCTGCTAGTTCTCTGTGATATAAATAAGTGAAAAAGCACAAAGGGGATTAATGGAGACAGAAATCCTGAAAGGTATAAATAAACCTATGTACAGTAACTCAGTGGGGCTGAGAGCAGGTTGTTTCAGCTCTGCGTTTCGGACTGATATGCCTCCTGCTGCAGAGCTGTCGTGTTCCAGGGATTGATTGAGCCTCTGTGCTGGGCTTCCATAGGTCTTTTTATGTTCAAAGAGCTACTGACAGTATCATTTAGCAGCCAGAAAAATCCAGCAGAAGTCCATCACCACAGGACACTTGTCATTTTGGGCATCCTTTTTTTTCAGCTTGATTTGAGCTTTGTCTATTTTGTCTTTGCCAAGTGATACAGAGATGGGTGGCTTCATTTGAAGGCTTTAAAGATACTTTGTGATTTTGAAAGCTGTGCTCCTGAAATGCAGAGGATCCCATGAGAATTCAGCAGCGTTGGGAGCTGGAAGCTGGTAGGGTTCCCCTCCCCATGAGACCTTTAAACTCTTACAATGAATAGTTTTAATTTCCACTGAGGTATAAAGAGTTAGCTTGTTGACAGTTTTCCTACCGAGTCCCTGAATAGGAAGCCTAGAGTGTGCGTGGGCTCTGGAGTATGGGAAAACTCATAATGGGCCTCTGAGTAAATGGATAAAAATGTTTCTTATTTTCCACACTTGCTGTTCTGGTAAATCGGTCAGAACTGAAACGTTTAATGCAAATTCCTTCTGAACTGGTGACTTCAGTGCAAACTCAAAGAATAAGTTACAGAGCATGGGGGTGTCCTGGTGTTATTCCAGTAGCTGAGAGATCTATAGTTTGCTTCCATGGGTTTTTGAATAGGCATTGGCTTGAATTCTCATTTAAGATCTTAATGTTGAAGTCCAGACAGCCTAAGAGCTGTCACTCTCCGGATGCCCATCACAGACAGAGCAGGTCTTTTTGTGCAAGCAGGCTACTCCCAGGGACAGCAGGCCACTTAAATGAGAGCCAGTTCTGTAGCTGATGACTTTTTTGCAAGTAGCATAGCATATTTGTTGCTATCTGAATGATATTTTGATCATTATAAATGATTGATTTTTGGGGTGAATATCTAACTGGCATATATAGAAATAAAGGAGGAAGAAAGCCATCCAAAAGATAGATGTGGTGGAGGCTTGAGGAGAGTTATTCATCTGACGCAGGTGAGTTTTGCTTGGATTTTTAACACATCATAGAGGGATGGAGGAGTAAATAGCTGATAGAGCCAGAAGGCTTTCAATACAAAGTCAGGTGATGTTTGCATTCTTTGGTGGAAGGTTTGAGGACAGATTCTTCTTATTAATTTTTTTTCTTTTTTTCTTTCTTTCTTTCTCCTGTTTTCTTTTTTTCCTCTTTCTTTTTTATCTGTGGAGTATAACCCACATCAGAGCAGAAGCAAGGGGCCACTGAAGGGAGACTGTGGCATACGGCAGGGTAGAGAAGAGGTGAAATCTCCTCATGTGTGATCTTTGCTGCAGCTAAAGCAGAGAAGGTGCTTGAGGGTAGAACAGCAGTTCAGTGAAAAACATTAACAAGAATCAGTTTGGAAGGATTGATGTTTAAGAAAGGTTAAAAGGAGGTTTGAGTGCATGTGGGAAGGATGCATGACTATAAATAAAGAGGAGTGGAAGGCAAAATAATGTTTGGCTCTGAAAAGAAGTATGACCAAGTTAAGTGTTGTTTCTCTTGATTTTATTATGTTGTGGCTTAATAAAGCACAGATTGACCATAAATCTACTTTCCCTTCTCAAAGAAAAAAGTAAAAATTACTTTGAGAAGAAAAAAAAATGAAATTAAGAAAATCTGAAGACTATGGCCTCAGGGACTGTCCTCTGTTGACACAGGAGGTGTTTGACAGGCCAGATCTGGTCATTCTTAGACAGTTTGAGATTGAACCCTTATGTCCACATGAAATTTGTGCAACATGTGCTGTTTGGGTGGCGATTTTCATTGTTGCCCTTCAGCTGAAATAGTAAACGGTCTTTAACAGCCTTTCAAAACGTTGTGCTGCTTCTAGCGCTTGCTTTGACTTTTGCTGTAGAAGGTGTTTGGGCTCAATTACAGGCTTTGTAGCTGTGTTCTATCTGTTTCAGTTGCTCTGAATTGTTTTATTCCCACTTACTCCTTTCCAGAATCTTGCTTAAAAAAAAAAGAAACCCAAAACATTTTGACCTTGCTCTTTGAGATTAGGAACCATCTTTTTTTGTTGCTTATTTTCTTAAGATACCTCTGATCTATTGCTGAGCCTGCTGAGTGCTCCTGTAGTACATATATTAGTTTGACCAATTTCCTCTTTTGCTCCACCTCCTTTATGCTTTTGTGAGGTTCATGCTGTGTAGATTCTGGGAAGAAATGGCTGTTATCAGTTAGCAAGGAAAGTAGTACAGCAATGTTCTGCTCGAGTACATTAATGTAAAATACTTTTTGCTGCTTTTCTCGGAAACATTCCCTGTAGTTGCTCGGGATAGAAGACCAGGAGTGATCTACGAGCAGTGAATAGCTCAACTATTTGCATATAAATAGTGTTTCTTTGGTTTATTATTTTTTTATGATACAGTTTTCAAACAACAGCAGACAAACATGTCTTTTGTTTAGTTTGTAAATTTGGGTGATTTATCTTGTTTCTCCCAAACACACCCTGCTGCTTGCTTTTATTTTTCCCTGTCTTGCATCACTTAGAGATTGCTATTCAGTGAAGCAAGGCAGAGGTTGGGGCAGGCCAATGCGGACAACTGAGGACACTGTGCTAATTGTGTATGCATGAAGGGAACGGATGCACAGTTCAGAACAGGGCCGTGCTGCCGCCTTTAAACACAGTCAGTGTAGAAAGCAGCAGTACAAATTTTTGCCCTAAAAAGCAGTCCTAGTCTATCCTAGAGTGCTTCTTTATAGGTTTGTGATGCTTCTTTATAGCTATGGCTTATTCTGTTTTTATTGGACTTTGTGCCCAGCTGTGTCACTGGTCCAGTGTCTGGGAAACAGTGGTATTGTTGGTTTACTTGGGTAGGTGTTCAAGCTCTAACCTAATGATATGTTGGAAGTAAGCAGTGCCCTTTGTTGTTGTTCCCTACCAACAAGAATATTGAGTGCAGTATTTGTAACGCTTGTTTGTTAAATAGCATTGCAAAGAAATGTAATCTTGGAGCTGCCCAGAGCTTTGAGGACATGGTGAGGCTCTAGTTCTGAAATGCAGAGACATCATAGCTGATGGTGCTTAGGGGTTTTTCTTTAAGCAAATGTCTTCTGTTTAGTCCATCCATCAGAACAATTTGAATTCTTTGAAATGGGGTGGAAGGCAAAATGATGAGCTGACATGGTGTCCTACCCACTTCTTTCTGAAACCTGGATTTGAGCAAACCTCAAAAGATTCACACAAAGAATGAGTGTGAGCTCCAGTCCTTTCCATGGCTCTTCAGGTCTACATTGCAGAACGGCAGCAGGTGTTGTAACTGCACAAGCACAGGCCTGCCTGTGGTGCGGGGTAGGAAAGAACAGAATCCTGACGTTCTTCAGGAAATGTATCATGATTGCTGGGATCAGTCTGTGTACTGCCCCCATTTTACATGCACCTTTTAAACTGGGAGAAGGTTTGGGGTGGGAAGGAATTCTTGGGCAGTTCTTCAGCTGCAAGAAGGTTACGGGAAGCCTAGGAGAAAAGAAGGAAGCTGAGGTGGATTTAGGTAGGTTGTCCAGCTTTTTTTTAGCTCCTGTTAGAGTTGTCGATAGTGTCCTGCTGTCCGGAGCATCCCTTAGCATATCTGTAGTTCACAAGCAAAGCTTCTCTTTCCTTTTTCCCCCCAGTGAAAGAATGATTTTTATTTGGTTTGTTTCAGAGCTGGAAAAGGAGATCACCAGGAGACCGAAGAAAGTCTGCATTGTAAAAGTGGTGGGAACAAGAAACCTGTGGAAAAACATCGTAGTGTTGTGTGTCAACTCGTAAGTTCAGTCTCTCTGAATAGTTCTGTGGTTGGTGAACTGGAAGCAGTAATGGGAAATGATGGGCGAGCTCCTCTGTTTCTTAGTGTGGGACCCTTTGCTAGTGTCTCTGATAAATGATCATGGAAAAACACCAGCTGATGCAAGGAGTTCTTTTTTATGGCAGACATGGAGGAGCTCATCGATTGTTTCAGGCAGCAGTATCATGTGTCTTCTCAGGTGTTGTTCTGCAAGCGCACTGCTGTCACCAGTGGTCTCACATAGACATGTGCTGGTAAATGCTCACTCATGTAGGCTGCTGCTGCTGCTGGTGGGATTTCTGAAATCATTAATGCCCCGGGAGTGCCAGTTCAAGTTGTTTACATCTGAAATAGCTGTGTTGAAGAGGAAGATGTTTCTTGCCAGTAAATACCAGCCTGCTCCCTTGTATAAAAGCTGTCCTTGATAGGTCTTCAGAACCGGATTACAAATCTTGTGCAGGGCACGTAGGGAGAATATCTGTGGTCTCACAGAACATGATGCCTGTGTCCTAAGGGTTCGGCTTTGACATGCATACATAGGCAAAACCAGGCATTTGCCTGAAGGTTTTCCAAATTACAGGCTCTGAGACCTTCTGTCCAGAACTGAGCACCTTGTAAAGAGGAAACAGATGGGCTGCAAATTTAGCCTCTAACCAAACCAGACTTTCTGGGAGGGCAGTGGTAGTAGATTTTCTAATTGTTCAATCTTATAAAATGCCTATTTGAATACCTGTCATGATTTTTTTTTCAAGTGGGAGGTGGGAACAAGCCTGCAAATCCCCCATCCTCTGCTCCATTTAGAAGTACATAGCTCTCTCATGCCTTCTTCTTCATCACATCGGGGCCCTGCTCTGCAGCCTTCACTCCTGTTACACAGGCTTATGGATCAGTTATAACCTCTAGGGGACAGCCCTTGTGCTGGGCAGATGGTCACCCGGGGGCACATGGGCTTCAGGGCTCAGTCTCTTGCATTATTGGTTGCAAAACCAACTCTGGTTTTAATGATTTTTGTGTGTCTCTCGCACCTACCAGTGGGTGATCCCCTCTGTTTCCTCTTAGGCTGAGCTGGTGGGTTTGGTAGCCAGCGTTAACTGTATTTGTGAGAAATGTTATGTGGGGAATCCTCCCCTTCTCTCCCTCACCCTTTTCAATTATGCACATTTGGAAATCCCCTAAGCCAGAACTAGGCAGCCCAACTTCTAGCAATAGCACACGGAGGCTGCTTGCCTCCAAGTAAAGCATGGATCAGATGTGTGTCTGAGGAAGTAGCTTTCATGTTTGTTTTTAGGGGTTGAAGAAAAAACTATGTAATTTTCATTCTGTTATTCCTGTTAGATGGGGCTGTGGTAAATTTTGGTAGTGTGGACCATGCAGAAGGTACCATTTACAGGGAATGGTAAGACATCAAGGGAGATAAATGTATTTAGTTTTAAAAGCAACTGTTCTGAGCTGTTCAACGAGTTAACATAATAGAGTAATTCCTGGGGAAGCAGGCTGGAAAGCGAAGTCCAAATGATACATTGATTTAGTTTACAGGTCATGGCCTAAATAACAACTTCAGCAAGTGTGTTTGCATGCACAGAAGAGAAAGAAGATATGCCCTAATTAACTCTGTCCTTTTATGAATACTTTTTTGCTGTTTAATATTTCTCTTACGTGAGGAGCTAGTTATAATCTAGGTATCCAAAGCTGCTTACATTCTTGTGTAACAGCAAGTGTAGCTAGGTTTTATCAGGGACAAGGTGTTTAGTGTTGGGGATGTATTTTGAACTATAGCATTGATTCACAAGGTCATCGCTGTCATGCACTCAGCAACTGCATATTCCCCCAACTGTTTTTATGCTTATGTTAATATTCACTTAGAGTTTCTAATTACTGACCTTCAGGAGGGTAGCAGTGTATCAGTGTAACGGACCTGCCATTCAGTTTTGGAGGCCTGGATCTGTGCCTGCCTCTCTGCCAGGCAAAATTCATTTGTGACGTGAGGTTCGTCTGCTCTAGATGCCAGGGACAGGAGGCCCTTCCCAGCAGGGCGTATCTGTGCTGCAATGGGAGTTGTTCAGAGCATTGACCTCCCACAGCAGCTCTACTGCAGTTTTGCACCACTTCGAGGGTGATGCTGGAGCTTCTCATCTGACTTGTGTACCTCCAGCCCCGTGCTCTTCCTTCCTTTTTCCTTCCCTTTTTGTCTTTGTGAGTGCTAAGAGAAAGAGGAGTGAAATGGAGCGGCAAGATGCTGATCACTTTCATCACAGAGAAACTTCTAAAAGAAAAGTAGACACACAGCTGTGAAGGGTGGTGTAAATGTATAGATTGAATTATGGCTTATCATTTCATAATGGTAATAATTGCAGCATGTGTGACTTCAAATAAGGGGTTTCTAAGGGGTCTACAGTTGTAACAGGTTTGCTTGGGAAGCGAGATGCAGTCTTCAGTACAACCAAGTGCCGCAGGCAGGTCTTCAAGACACAGCTGTATTGAACAGTGTTTTGCTGTTTAAACATGCGGGCTGCTTCATCACAGCACCTCTGTCTCCTATGGCTGTCAGCAGATGCACTGGGAACAGAGATGTCTTTGCAAGAGGGGAGTTCTCAAATACACAGGGAAAGCCAATCACACACTAGGAGTCCTTGTAAAGATGCTCGTATCCCAGTCATACCACAAGCAACAGCTATATGAATAAAGCCAGTAGATTGCAAATGTCTGGTTGAATAGAGATTTTTCTTTTTGCTGCTTTTGATCATCGCTTATTTTTGCAGCAGCACCTAGAAGTCTAAGATGAGTCTTTTTGCACTAGTGTTGTACTCCTGCAGCGGAAGAATTTCTTCCTGCATTAAGATGTTCCTGCCTTGAATTCCACTGCAGTGGGTGGCTGCCTTCTCAACAATGATCTCCTCTTGCCCTGTTCTGTTTCCCCTAGGCTGACTGGTTACGGCATACACCACTGTTTTGCAAAAAGCATGATGGGGCATGAAGCGAAGATGGCAATTACCCACAACTTCTATGCGGACTACTACACCATGGCTGGGATTGCACTGGCATCCTGCCTGGCCATGTGCCCGGTGGTTGGGTTTCTGGGGAGAAGAGGAGGACTCCTGCTTTTCATGATCCTTACAGCCCTGGCATCGCTTCTGCAGCTGGGTCTTCTCAACTGTGAGTTGGAGACAAGAGCTTTTGAAGACACATGATTTTGATGTGCAAATATGGGACCAGGGAATATTAACACTCCTTTTGCCCTTCTCAGACTTGGCATGCTGTATGCGTGCTTACTTTAAGAATTTGCTTGAAGGTATTGGGCTCTGGATGAGTCTCTGTGAAGCTCATTGATACCCTCTGGTAGGGATTGGAAACTGAAGACTTTCCCACTTGAGTCTGCTTCTCAAATGGCCACTAACCTAAATGGCAGTTAAAGGAGTAGGTGTCTATAATCTGTCTGCTCGGAGCATTTTGCTACATGCAAGTGATAGATAGCATGGAAATGTGCAGCTGAAAGACCCCGCTTTTAACACAGTGTACACATATAGTCCATGTGAACATGTACATATGATTTTGTGAGTTGTCACAGCTTTTCAAATGGGTTCCTGCCAAAATCAATCTCACAGTCACCAACCGTTAGACCCCGGTCCTATGAAACCTCAACCCAAGGAAGGGGGAAGAGGGTTGTGATGTGCTTTGGACAAACTGGGTATGAGACAAACACCAGAACACTGGTGGTTGCTGTTTTTTCGCTTCTAAGTTTAGAAATAATTAAGGGCTCTAATGAGAAAGGGGTTTTTGCAGTGAGGATGGAAAGATTTCACATTCCCACATGCTGAAGGCAGCCCTGAGCCAGCAGGAGTTCTCTGTATTTCCAGACTGTGTTTCCTGAAAGCATTCACCAAGTTAACCTTAAGCAAACACTCTATTTGTGGGCGGGAAACAAGGAACCTCTTTCATGACATGGAGGAAACTCCAAAATGGCATGGTGTTTTGCTCCCACATTAGCACAGATGCTTACATTCCCTTTGAGGACATGTTTACCATGTCCAGCAGTCCCAGCTGAAAGTGGGACCGCACCTTATCACCAGCCCATTGACAGACTGTGACCTCTGGCATGCAGAGGCACACAATGCGTGTGTGCGATCACATTCTTGTGGTGGTGTCCATCAGGATCTCTCCACACTCAATTGGTCTAATCTTCCTTTTTTTTAAGGGTGTCAGACGTTGAAGCTGTTTGGGGTTATAAACATGCAGATGTTTAGTGGGGAGAAAGTGTGCCAGACCCAATAGGCCATGAAAATTGGGTTACATTTTTTCACCAACAAAAAAGGAGAGGTAGAGAGGAACATCCTGTAGGAGTCATTACAACCTTTTCTATACTGGGTTTAGGTGGTTTTGTGAGGCAAGTTGCTAAAACTAAGAGCAGCCATTGGGTCTAGGTGTGTTCTGCTGCGCTGCCACCTAAACTTGTCTCAATGCTGTGCACCCCTGAGCCTGACTGTCCTTGCCCCTTCCTTTGTGAGAAGAGTAGAAAAACACAGCCTTGAACTTCAGAGCAGCTCATCTCCCCCCACTCTAGACCATGCCTCTCCTTCCCCAGAAGAGCTAGACAGTGTTGGGAGAGAAGCACTGACTCTGCTGATTATGAAATCTGTTATAGCCTCCTCCTTGTTTTAGCTTAGTGTAATTTGGGTGTAATTGGCAAACAAAATCAGAATTTGAGAAGGGTGAGAGAAGGAGAGGGGCATTCTCCATCAGCAACAGACCTTGAGGTTTGCCCTGTTCAGCCCTTCCTCCAGACGTCAGGATGTCACAGGAGCCTGGTGGGAGATCAGCAGCAGAAATATGCCCAGCTTGTGCTGCTGCCCTTCCCCTTGCTGCCCAGTACTTCCATGTGCTCTTTTGCAGTTTGGATGCGTGACAGCTAGTGGCTAGCATGACACATGGACCACCAGCTCTACATTTTGGCAAGGAGTAGGTCTCCCACCATTGTAATCGTGCTGATGCCCAGCATTTTGCTCTCTAACTAAAGCCTCTGTTGGCCATTCTCTTGGGGCTGCAGCATGAGGGCAGTTTCTCTTCTCCCCTTGTAACAACAAAGAGGCCTTTGTGTTAATCCCAGTGGTAATTCTGGGGCTCTTAAAAATGCTTTAGTGCTGCATTTGTTATCACTGCCTCATTAGCATGCTATCCTGCAGCCGAAGGGGGCCTGGAAATGGTATATCCTCATCTGGTGGCCACAGAAAGATGTGCCAGTATTGGCATGGGAAAGAAGTGTAAGGGGAGCTCGGGTGGAGTGTGGCATTTACCTTTTTTTCCCCTTTGGATAAATAAGTATGTAACAGCAGTATGTTCTTTTTTCTTTCCCTTTCTCTCCTATTTTTTCTTACTCAAACTTCTGTGGTCTTGGATCCAGTGATCGGAAAATACAGTCAACTTCCAGACTCAGGTATGGTTTACAGACAAGTCTGCATCATGCAGGGAGCACTTCCCTGGGAGTGGATAGATCCGAAAGACCGGGGTCAAAGTACCCAGAGTGGAGCTGCCACTGCAGCAGGGTTCAGAGGGAAAGCCCACTTCTACACAGTGCCTTGGGACCCCACTTGTAGGCAGGCCTGTTTTTTTGTGTGCAGTCTCTCAGTGTGGTATCCCCTCCAGTCTGACTCACCTCCTCGGGTCAAGAGACGGTGCAGGAGTTCCCCAAGGTTTATTTTTAGACAGATGACAAGGCTTTCGAAGAAGTCTCTATCTAGGAGCAACATTCCCAGTTCAGTCTTTTCCAGAAAGGTCTGAGGTGCCAAAGTCCCTTTGGATAAGGGGACTGGGGCACCTTAGAAAATACTTTCTCAGGCGTCTTATCCCAGCCTTAAATACTGCAATAGCAAAGCAGTGACGTTCTATGGGGGAACAAAATTTACCCTTCTGTATTTGGTTTAATGGACCTGTCTTTGCCCAGCTCTTCCAATGTCTGTTCTCCTGAACAGTCATGACTCTCTGTAGGGTCAGCAGTGCAATCTCACCTGCTATGCAAGAGTTGCCAGGGAGTGTCAGAGATCCATAGTGTGCAAGGTGCAGTGCTCACATCCTTATCTGCTGTCAGTATTTGCTCTGTACCCCAGGCTTGGGGTGCATTGCACCAGGGGATGGTTTCCTTTATCTTTGCTTAGATTTGCTTGGGTTTCTTTCTATACTTGATAGACACTGTTTACTCCAGAAACCTTGCTGCCATCCAGCCATGAAATGACTGAGCAAACAGCCTTTGCTGGGCACAGTGCCTTGGGGGAACGCACCATCCTTGCCATCAGCTCTTCTTACGCAGCATTGTCAGACAAAAGCTGTCAAGCTGGGGATTACAATGGAGTTTGCAGGCTGATCACATGCAGGGGCTTAGCATGGAGATGGGAGTACTTCCATTTCTTTGCTCTCTTGCCCTGCAAGCCTCACCAGTGCCCAAGTCACTGAGCTGTACCAGATGTTTGGCAGCTGGATGAATGCTGCCTGCCTCCTCTTGTCTGTCAAATGTGGGAGGGAAGTGGCTGGTGCCTAAAAGACTGCCCAAAGATGTGTTTTTTCTTGGGTTTTACCTTTTGTGGTGGCTGGGCATAAATAATTCAGGGATTGCTGCCATTTCTGGCATGTCATTATGATTTTTTTCACCTGTGTTTGTGTCTCGGGTGCTTGAGGAATGAATTTTATAAATGCCAGGTTTAAATTAGTATTACAAAAATGACTCAAATTTGTGTCTAGGGAGAATGAGTAACACAAACCTGCTTTCTTGTTTTTTTCCTTGGAAGTTTGGCCTCATTCTTGCTTTTTATGAACACACTTGTCTTGACAGGTATGAGTGACAGCGTCAAAGACAAATTCTCTACAGCATTCTCCATCGTGGGTATGTTTTCCTCGCATGCTGTTGGAAGCCTCAGCGTGTTCTTCTGTGCTGAAATCACACCCACAGTAATCAGGTGAGACACTGGAGCCCCCCTCTTCAAAGGTTGGAGATGAAATTATCATTTAATTTATAACTGGCTGTGTAACTTAATGCATTCCGTGGGAGGAGAAATCCCCCATAGTTGGAGACCTCACAGCAATTTGGGGGCTGTTTTTTAATGTCACTGCAGTCAAAGTAAATGCCCGTCTGTAGGCAGGCTTTGTTTCCGATAGCTCCACCTTGTGTCCCATCATGGTATCAGCAGGCTGGGCACAATGTGAATTGCATTGTTTGAAGTGCGGCATGGTCTTAAATCGCAGAATCACAGAACGGTTTGGGTTGGAAGGGATCTTAAAGCTCACCCAGTTCCAACCCCCTGCCACAGGCAGGGACACCTTCCACTAAGACCAGGTTGCTCAAAGCCCTGTCCAACCTTGCCTTGGACAGTGCCAGGGATGGGGTAGCCACAGCTTCTCTGGACAACCTGTGCCAGTGCCTCACCACCCTCATAGTGAAGAACTTCTTCCTTATATCTAATTTAAATCTACACTGTTCCCCCTTGTCCTGTCACTACATGCCTTGTAAAAAGTCCATCTCAAGATTTCTTGTAGGCCCCTTTTAGGCACTGGAAGGCTGCTATAAGGTCTTCCCTGAGCCTCCTTCCCTAGGCTGAAAAAGTCTAGCTCTCTCAGCCTGTCTTCATAGGAAAGGTGTTCCAGCCCTCGGATAATCTTCGTAGCCCCCTCTGCATCTGCTAGCTGGGTTTGTACAAGCAGCAATCGTGAGTCTGCAGCTGGATATCGAAAGAGAAATTCCAGGAGTGCAGACAAGGACATAAGTGCAGGCAATCCCTGCCTCCACAGGGCAGGTTAAGCAAGCCAGCTATTGGGGTGCTTCAGTGGAAAGGAGTTGTTGCAGCATGCAATGTTAAATGCTTTCAGTGCATAAAGGTGCTCTGCAAGTCTGCCTCTCCTACAGCACTCACCAGTGTGAGTGATCTGTCTTTACTGCAGATAAAGTCATCTTTTTTCTTTGCACCCAGACCTCTCTTAGCAGAGACTCAAAGTTTTTCTGAAGGGGAGTACTTTCATCCTGGGCAATAGTAGAAATCAGGCAGATGATCTTCACCGGAGAGCTTCCCATAAGATGTCTTTGCATAGTAAGGTTTTGTACCATTTTATGTATTCACTGCTGTCTTTCACAGCACAAAGGTTGTGCTTTTGTGTTCTGGATTATGCATTCAGCAATGTCACAGCAATTCAGGAGTCCGCCCTGACTCCACTGCATTTCCCAGGAATGTAGGTCGTACGGGTGGGAGGGAGAAAGGGTGGAAGGAAGAGGATACTCTTTTTCTTATTCTCCAAATTATGTGCCTTTTCAATAACTTTGCAAAGGTATTACAACCAAATTGTCAGCTGAGTAGCCAGAGTCCTTGATCCATGGCCTTTTCTTCCAAGCTGCCTGCTTTGTGAATGTATTTTACAGATAAGGTTATTTCCACAGGGAAAGGCAGTGAGTGGTGAGGAGATTATACAGCAGCCCAAACACTAACAGCTATTTACTTACATGCATGTCAGTCAGTTTGGTGGTTTTATCCCTCTTTAATTTTCTCCTTGTCTCTGTTTGAAAGACACATAGATAACTAATTGGCTACGTCACCCAGAAGAGAACCTGTCAAGTAGGGTCAGATGTGCAGTGTAAACTTAGCAAGCTTTTTCCCTTAAATCACTTGCATTGCTACAGGGAGGGGACAAAATCCTGGCTGGGAGACAAAATTCTGCTTCCCCAGCCTCTTCTGGGTGACACCAGGCGAGTGACAATAGCTGGATATGCCTCAGAGTCCCCATTTATTAATAGGGATGATAACACTCTGCAGTGCTTTGTAGTCCTACCACTGTGAAGCTCTCAATAAGATCTGCTCAGGGCTGTAATTAAGACATGGATATCAGGATGGCGCGTAAACTGTCTCAGGCAGAGTTGTGGTTAAGCTGCTTTGTGTCTCGCATCTTGGTGGGATCTGGCTGCTCCCTTGTAACCTGTTCTCCAAAATACTTCCTTGGGTGCCCTTTAGTGTTCAGACCATCTTAATATGCTTCTGGTTGAATCTCGAGGAACCTTAGGGAAAAAGGAGCCAGAGAAAGCACTAGGGCCATCTCTGGGGTTTCCCTGATCAAATCCTTTACCTGTTATGCCCCATCCTTGAGGAAGGAAAACAACACTGTCATTATCATGGTAGCAGTGGAATGATAGCAAACCTGTAGTGTCCATCCAGCTCTACTTCTGTGGTGCTGAGATGAATGGTTACAGCCATGCAGGAAGAAAACAGCCATCTTCATTGCCAAGAGGTGCTGCCTGCTCCAGAGACACAAAGGCCATTTGCCACCGGGGGGTCCGTCATACCCCTGCTCTGCATGCATCCCAGTCTCCTGGTGCTAGGTAGGAGGGCTTCACCAGGAGCTTCCATTCCTTGTACCAGGGGCTTCAGTACAGAGCTCCTGCCAAATACTGAATTTAAGCACTAAGTGGCACCAGTAATTTATCTCCAATAATGTTGATGGGAACACCACTGCAGTCTACACAACTACTAAATGGAAATAGGCTAAAGAAAGCATGCATGTTCTCATCCTTTTCATGCTCAGTTACTACCAAGTAGAAGAGAGGTCTGGGTTTTTTTTCTCTCTGTGTCCTCTTTTGTGCCCACCCATACAAAGAAATGAAGGAGTGGGCAATGATGACCATCAATAGCTGTCTCAAGCTAAAATTCCAGTGCTGCTTACTGGGAACTGACCCAGGCCTGGCTTTTCAAAGGTGTTGCCTTGCCCCATGAGGCCAAGGGCATCTTGGTGAGTTGCTGAAACTCTGGCACAACAGGGTTGCTTATGTATGGGACTACGCGTGCAACAGGGTCCCTTATGTACAGAAAAGGCAGGGAAAAGCTGTGGAGGCTTTCATGGACTGACTTCAAGAAGTGGCTGGACTGATTGGGTAAAGCCCTGAAAACTTGGTCTGAGTTCAGTGTTTGGACCATGGTCCCTTTGCAGTTTGCCCATGTCAGGACCATAAACCTCATGCAAACCATCCTGCCCTGCTGCTGCAGGGTAAGCAGAGGTCAGGGATATGGCTCTGACCATCAGTGGGGTCATGGCAGGGGAAAGCCCCCCACAACAGAAGCTGCAAGGCAGAGCTGTGAGGGGAGAAACTGGGGGTCACTCTTGGTGCCAGCAGCCCTCACACTCCCCCTCTTGCCTCCACTCTGCACCTCTGAGTGGGTTTGAAGTAGAGACATTGGCCCCTGCTGTGGCAGACCTCATACTGAGGAGGAGCAGGACCCCAACGCACTCTGGTTTTGGTTTCTCCCTGCTTCCCCATGGTGGCTGCAAAGCCAGGGTGAGTTATGAGAGTGCTGCCTCTTTTGCCCTGGACCCGTTTTCCTGACATGCGCATTTTTTGTTGCTCCTGTGAACAACAACAGATCCCTGACAGTATTTGCAGTTCTCTTCTTTTTCCTTCCATATTTGCAGTTTGGTCAAACTTCAAAAATAAAATATTCTGGGACCCATACCAAAATGTAATTTCAAGGCTCCTTCTGGCAGGTGCTGATGGTGCTAGATAAAGTAATGCCCACTCTAATTACTGACCTCATGTGGAAAAACTTCCTTTTTTCCCCCCCTTTCCAAATCTGAAGCCACTTGACCGATGACAGAGCCGTCTTTGTTGCTGCTCTTTCCTGTTTCCTTTCAGTTTGCTTGGTGTCCTTCTCAACAGCTTTTAAAACTCACCTCAGGTCCTTGTAGGGGGTTGAGGTACGATTTAGCCGCAGCAAACACTGATGTAAATGAGTTGGGCTTTTGTTGCTCCAGAGCCAACTTGGAGAGTGATTTGCCTTGCATTTGGGGCTGGTTGTGCCGATTGCTCATGTGAGTGTGTTAATGAAGCTGCAGCCAGGCCAGTTGCACAATGGCTGCATTCAGCTGGGTTTCTAAATTGCCATCAGAAAGCTGGCAAGTTTTTACTGAGGGCTTTCGCAGTATTGGAGGAAATCACTGTTGTTTGTGAACGATGCCCTGCCGAGTCTGGAGAATTAGAAGGTGCATATGTGAATTTCTGATCTAGTCAGTGTTCCGAGAGCATCTTTGAAACCTGTGCTTCCTGCCCTTTAGCTGTCAAGCAAGCAACAGTGGATTTTGGAAAGGATTAGGTGAAGATTAGCTCTAACATAGTGTTTGGCTGAGTGAATTTGACATTTATAGGTTTATAGTGCTGTGGTCTCTTGTATGCTCAGTAGGAGATGAATTTATTTTTTTCCAAGTGCTTGATGTGAAGCGGTTCATTCGCCTTCTATAGTTGTCTTCTGTAAGGTCTGGTTATTGTTAATAGTTACATCTCTGCCACTGGGCCAGGAAATGAAGCACCTGAGCCCACCTGATCACCAGAGGCTTTGGGAATAGGTGGCATCTCCTGGAGGAGCCACAGGAAGCGGGCTGCCCAGGAGAGCTTGGTGGGGGAGTGGGGAGCACACGGTGCCAGTGATTAAGCGCATGGGGAGATACCTCCCTCTGCAGGCAGCAGGGTCTCTGGAAAATGAAGGATAAGCTGCCTCTCTCAGAGATTTTGCTAAAGCAAGTCACTTAAGGGTGATGCTCCACTAGCTGGAGACCTCGGTTGTGCCCCAGCAGGAAAAGGGAATGGTCTGCCCTAGAGAAATGCCTGTGGTGCCATTTCTGTGTAGGGTCACCCAGCAGAGAGAGGCTCTGGGAGCACAAGCTGATGGCCTCAAAATGAGGTGGGAGTGCACATGCACCTATTTATAATATAAGCACTTCACCCATGCTAACCTTTTCCTAGCCTTTCTGTGATAAGAGAAGAGCAAGAAAGAGTAGAGTGAGGGACTTAGCTCAGCTTTGTACAGTGAGTTATTTCCCCACACTAAAGGCAAAAAGGCAGCAATGAACTACAACAGCAAAGCAACTCCCTGCTGGAGTAACTGTGCAGTGTGAAAGCTGTGAGCAAACCAGGCTTGCCTTTGAGATTTCGGATGCAGGGGTGCATGCCAGACCCTAAGGGGTGTGCCAGGGGATCCCTCCCTAGTGCCAATGGGGCTGCACTGGTAGGATCGGGCTGTGTGGCCGGGCTCTCACCTCTGCTGTGTTTGCAGGGGAGGCGGGCTGGGGCTGGTCCTGGCCAGCGCGGGCTTTGGCCGCCTGACCGCCCCCATCATGGAGCTCCACAACCAGAAAGGCTACTTCCTCCACCACGTCATCTTCGCCTGCTGTACGCTCATCTGCATCATCTGCATCCTGCTGCTGCCGGAAAGCAAGAACCAGAACCTGCCCGAGAACATCCCAGACGGGGAACATTACACCCGGCAGCCGCTTCTGCCGCACAAGAAGGGGGAGCAGCCCCTGCTCCTGACAAACTCTGAACTCAAGGATTACTCTGGCCTCCACGACTCAGCAGCTGTGAGCGACGGGATCTCGGAGAACACCACTGCCAACGGGATGAAGTCAATGTAACCGGGTGGATTCTTTTCCTCTTCTTTTTTTTGGTTGGGTGTTTTGTTTGTTGGTTTTTCTTCTCTTTCTTTTGTATTTCATTTGATGCTGTTGTGCAGGAGGAGCAGCACTTTGGGTAAAGGTGTTTTGCACAGATCTTACAAACCAGTAGTGGAGCAGACACAGACTTGGGGGAAATTCAACTCTGCTGCTAAAGCAACTTTTGGCATCTTCAACTGTTGTGCAGATTGCTCTTGAAAAAGTTATGGGGGAAAATACTCATCTGAGAAGAGACCTGGCTGGAAGTAGCCCTTCAGAACTCTTATTTTCCTGCCATTAAATACATATATTTATTTTGATTTATTCTCAAGAAGCACTTTATTTCCTTTTCCTTTCATAGATCACAAAAATGAAGCCATCTTATTACAAGAGGTGCAGCCATTCCAAGAAAGAAACCATGGGGGGGTGGGGGGGGGCACGGGTGTTTTCTGTTTTGGTTTTGTGTTTCTTTAGAGGAAAGAGGGATCCACTGCAAAGTTGAATTGACCGAAATGTAGACTTGTGCAACATTCTTCTGCCTGTCTAGAAAGTCCAAGTGCCCCGGTTGCCTGCTGTGTTTGTATACACCAAAAAGAAAATAAGACAAAGAAAAGCAAAACCTGTTGCGACTCAAAATTCTGACTGCATTTTAGGCAGCTGATGTGTGTTTTTATAGCCCATGTGCACTTAAAAGTTATTTTCTACATTAATACCTTTTTTTTTTTTTCCACCAAATGCAGTGGGGAAAAAAATCCTACCCAAACAAGCTGATTTTTCAATAAGAATCAGCCCCTCTGCATTTTAAGAGCCCATTAGTCTATTTTAGATGGTTCCCGCTGGTCTTTAATAGTAATGTAGATGATGTAAATGATTCGACCAGTGATGCAAAAATCAGTTTTGCTGAGAATAGCTTTAATTATGAGGAGGCCCAGAATCTCTGATTGACTGCTCTGGGAGAAGAACATAAACCACCAGGGACAAAACGTGAGGAGCATGGGCTATGATCTGTATCTTTATTCCAGAAGGCAGTGCAGCTGGGATTCCCGCTCCTGGGAAATGAATGTCCTGGCATTGCCTTACCTATTTTTACAACCAGGGTTTGGGGTTTCAATTTAAGTGGACAAAATGCTTAAGTGACTATTGGAAAAGAATGAATGGATAGACTGGGAATAATGACTTACGTTCTGCTGTTGGCTGTCTTGGGGCTTTTGGAGTTGTTTTCTGTTTCTGACCCAACAATATACAGTGAACTTACCCAGATTCACCCCTTCCCCAACTGCTTTTGTAGGATTTTTGATTTGGGAAAAAAGAAAAGTTTACTAACATTGGATCAATCCTACTCTAGGCTGAGCAAAGTGAACACCCAGTTTGTCTCCTGCTGTGCAGATGGCACTTTGATAGTAGCCCCTTGACTTCTCCAGCCCCAAAACCAACTATTTCCTTTGGCCACTGGCTTTTGGTTCTCACTGTGTGACTATTGATCGTGAGGATCTAGTTCAATGCAAGGAGTCTGTAAGCAAGCAGCTTTCTTGCATTGTAGTTAACCTCCCTGCTCTCCCTCCCTTTTCTCCTTTCTCACTCAGGCCATCCATTTGTGATTGCTTGGTAGTGCAGGTGTTCAGACAAACAGAGCTGCAGGATGTTGATGTTGTACTGAGTGTCCATATGATTGCCACTTTGTTTGATGTACATCTTGCGTTCATACACATGGAAAGTGCTTATTTTCACTTTCCTCCTCTACCTTCCCTCCCCTTTCCTCCTTCACTGTATATATTGTCGATTAACTACTGTACCTAACAATTTCCATCCTCCATTAGGCTGCCAATGTCCTCTTACAGTCCCAAATAAATCAGAGATATGTGCTCCCAGCGGCAATCTATGTGAGTAGCGCAGGCTCAGATGCTGACGAGTGCAAGGGGACAGGTAGACCTGCAGAAGCAACAGAGATTGTTGTGTTCAGAGTAACAATGTTGTCCTAAAGCTGCTAATTTTTGTACAGAGGATGTGGACATTCAGGTTCCTCTTGAGCCTGGTAAAAAACACTGGACCAGTTGATGGTAGTTTTGCCCAAAGTTACACTACTGGGGTTGTTTCCTGCCTTTGCTAGACTTGCTGTGACAGCAAGAGCCCGATCTTCCTTAGGCTCAAGTTTTATTGTTGAGCTTCAGCGCGGCTGCTTCTCTCTTTTTTTCTGCGTTGAGACTTCTGCAGCCTGCGTTCACCCAAGGAGAAAACCCAGGCCTTCCCCATTCACGCAGTATTCACGTGCCAAATTTGTGCAATACCTTCTGCCTTCGATGCGAGATGCTTGTGGCAAGCCTCACACACTGGGGATGGGGCGGGGGGGGAGTGGGTTCACAGCAACAAATTGAAGAAGCAAACAAGTCTTAAGGGAATAGAAAAGGGGCCTGAAAGAGAGGAGGTGCAAGCACAGAGGCAGAGAGCAGCGTCCTGCCGTCCATCGTGCCACGGAGCCAGTGGCTCCTTCCTTCGTGGTCTCTGTGCCTGTGTGCTCAAGTACGGCTCTTGTAGACCATCTGCAAGGCTATAAATCCAGCTGCTTCCAGCACTGTCAGCGGTCCTGGAGTGCTCACCGCTGTTGTCCACAGCACTTTATCGTTTCCTATTCTGGTGGTTGCTCTCTGGTGACACACAGGCCCACGGAAGAGAATGGTGGTTTGAACGTATTAGCATTTATATAGTAAACAACCTAGGTGACAGGAACATGCGGCAATTTATTTTTTTCTTTGAATCTTATGAAATTAACTTTATTTGTTGCTTTTGGGGTTGTTTTGGGGTTTTTTTTGCCGGAAACCAGGTAGTCGGTACTGATCTTCTGCAGCAAGGGGACCCCCAACTTCTCAAGTTGGTCTGGCCCTCTGCCTCTGTCACGACAGTGAAACACCAACTGATTCCTGCCTTGGCAGCTCTGGTTGTGCTCCTTTTCCTGGAAAGACAGGAAACACTTCTGTGATGACGATTTTCTTTCCACACATGCTCACAGGGTTGGAAGCTTTTGCTAAGCATACCTTGTGTGGGGGAGTCAGGCAGCAGGTGATGCAGCAGGGCAGAAAGGGGAGGTGGGCATGCTTACCCTGCTCTGCCTCGTCCCACAGCAGCCCAGGGCTCTCTGCTAGGGTCCCAGTCCCCTGCACCACCAACCATGTCTTCTCTGCAGCCATCACCAGGAAAGGCTTTTCTCAGGTGGCTCTTTTCAAGCCACTGCAACAGGGGAAGCAGTCAAAGCTGCTCTGTCCATTTGGGCCTTTGTGAACCTTCAGTAACCTCTGAGCCCATCAGTGGATTTGTCTTTGGGTTTACCATGTAAGGGCTTCCTTCCATTTTTGTGAGTTTAAACAAAAATGTGAAAGTGACATTATACTTGATTGGGGGGGGGGTGTGTCGTCTTTTAAGGTTTCAGTACTGCTTTTATTGCCAGACACATTGCAAATGGATAAGGACAGTCACCTGCTTGCAAGTGTTTTGTGGGCACTCAGAAAGGGGGTTGTGGGATTTACTTCATGGTTTCTTTCAGCAGGCTTTTTTTAACTTTATTTTTAATGGAAGTATTTTATTTAACTGTTGCCACTTCCTGGAGCCAAACACTAAAGGTCACCAAATTGGAAGCAGAAGTGCCATTAACTGAACTCTGTGAATGTCAAGTTGCACCTGTAGCTGGCACATAAGACAACACTATTAAGCAGAGGGGGGGTGATCTCCCCTGCTGTAACTTTTTCTTTTTTTTTCTTTTTTTTCTTTTTTTAAGAAAAATGAAATGTCAAACCTCATTTTAACTGTATTGTGTGAAATGTTTTGGGAAAGGAGGATGGTGCGTTATGTCTAGTGGGTGAGACCTCCCTCCCCGTTTCAGTTTCTGATGAAGTTTTAAAGAATCGTGTTACTGTATGTTTTGATCATGAATAGTCTGGTGGTACTTCCTCATAGCACAAGCTTAAATCAAGTACTGAAAACAGTCTTACAAGCTAAATGTCTGCATGATGTTACATCTGTTGTACCTACTGAAAAGAACTTTGTATGTAAATGTACAGAATAAAATGACATTGTCCCATCACTTTGCTCTCCTTGGTCTTGCAGTGCCTTCTGAACCAGCCTAGCAGCAGCTGTAATGTTAGTGACACGTCAGGAAACAGTCCTACCCTCCTCTACAAACAGAAGGAGCTTGACTGATTGTAAATCAGACTAATTAAGTCAGCATGTTGATTTGCAACTAGTTATTCTTTATAGTCAATCACAGATAGTTGACTGCTTCCTGGGTGGTGTGAATTAAAAAGAAAATACCCCTCCCGTAGTTGCTTTTCCTATTCTGATCTTGCACTGCAGCCAAGGACCGGTGACTGTTCCCAAAGGTAAGGAAGGGCTGCCTGTGCCCACATCACATCTACAGTGCTGAAGCCACTGGGTTTTCAAACCTCCTTGGACAAGAGGCTCATCAGGAGTTGCAGCTTCTACATCAACAACCTCTCGTTCCAGTTTTAGTTGCTGAGTATGGTGCCACAGCAAGGTACGTTCATCAGTTTCCTGTAGGTTTTTAGGGCAGTTGTCTAGCAGCAGCACCAGTAGGCTTTGTTTGTATCAGAAGCTTATGTCTGAGTCAGGGCTCAACTTGCAATGAAAAAGAAAGAACCTGGACTCACTCGTCAGGTTGCTATGCTCTGTGTTCCTTTAAATTGCCATGAATAATAGGTGGTATGCATGTATTGACACCTGCAAATGGGCACTGCATCATTTGCTCTAGAGCCAGTTTAGGATTTTGTGGTGGTGGTGGTGGTAGCTTTGGTTTTTCTAGCAAACAAGTGTGCTCACTTTACACCCATGATGTTCCCCTAGTAGCCTGCCAGATTTATCTGTTGCTCCAAAATTCAGTCTGTGCTCTTCTACATAGCTCTCCTTTGTGAAACCCTTCTAGTGTTCTTAGTGCCCAAGAAATAGAAGGAAATCCAGTGTTCAGCACCACTGCTACAACCAACAGAGGCTAAAAGGAGCAAACCAACACTCATTTTATGAGCTTTACAATACAAAAATGTATTTTATTTGCTATGTTCAGTACTAGTACATAGCAGATTAATTGTACAGCTTGAATTTGGAACTGATTTCCCAGCATATTCAAGTACTGAATGGAGGCCAGGCACTGCATGTGCACTTTTACAACAAAGTTCATCCATTGCAGCGTATTTTCTACTCTACTCACCTATTCCCTACTTAACAGGGTAGCAAATTTAAAAATAACAATAAATTCCAGGTTCCAAGTGTATTTAGGTCCATCTATATTTAATAACAACTTCAACTTCAATCAAAACAATATAAAACAAATATACTAACTTAATGTCAGTGTGAAAATTGCGATTGGTTTTTCTAAAACAAAAACTTCAGGTTATTTTACAATGAAGCCAAGTCAGAACTTCTCTGGAAAAGCCATCATTTCTTCTTTGATCCTGTTTTCTATGAGTAAGGTGAAACTGCTGTCTGTGTTTTGAAGATTGTAGCTGACAAATACCTGTTTTTTGGTCTTGCTGGCTAAAACACAAAATAGAGTAGTCAGGTACAGCTTGTTCTTATTTAAAAGTGATAATGGTATTTAAGCAAGCATCTTAAAAAGCTATATCATGCAGACAACATTCTCCAAGACAACATTCTCTACTCCTGCTGTGCTGAACCAAGTTATTAAAGGAATAGCAGAACAGGTACCTGAGTGTTAGCACACTGGGTAAAGCCACAGATGTCAATGAAATGGGCAATGCAAGCCTCACTTTTGGCCTGATGCAAAAAGTTGTGGAAAAGCCTCACACTTTCAGTAGATTTTGGACATTTCTTAAATATGGTGCAGGTTAAGTGAAACCACAGACTACACTGAACCCTTAGCAGCAAAGTCTAGTTGATAAGTTGGTAAATCTGTGCTGTGAAAAACACTAATACAGGTAAAGCACACAAGAAAGTGATTAGGCCCCAATTAACAAAGCTTTGCTTTATTAAAAAGCCCTAAGAAGGCCCGCAAAAGTGTGCACCAGTCTTGTCTAAGTCTGCTGTCAATAATTTTGTTTCTTTTAACCTTTATTTATACAGTATCCATCAACACCCAAGAGGCTGGAGAGCCTGGGTTGAAGGTAATGAAGCCAAGCACAAGTTCCAGGCTACTGTAATGACAAATACCTAGAGAAAGATGCTACAAAATTAAGAGCTGTCTTCCATGACAGAGCTAATTAACAGTAATAAAAATAATGTCCATGGGGGCAGAAAGACTTAATTATCAGAGTAGAATAAGTAACACCAAGGAGTGTTTTATCAATAAAAGGGAATCCTACTTAGATTTTACCATACTCATGTAGCGGATTTGTAACTCTACACATCGCTAAACTTTGCAAAGAATGTAAGCACCACAGAGGAAAAACAGGCATTACATTTAAATTGAGTTGTGTAAAATAGAGGAGGAAAACTGATATTTGGGTCATGAGGTATTCTTGGCAGGCAATGAGCTGGGAGCTGACAATCCCAGCGACAAATCAGACCCCTCTGCTGAATATTCAAAGCTACCATCTGAATTTTAAAACAAAAATGAAGACACCAGAACTCCTAATGTCTCACTCCTTTCTAAATGGGGAAGTTGACTACAGAAAACTTAGATATATGTATAAAATGCAGTTAAACTACTCCTTTGAGGCATTTTTGTTATGCAAATCGATTTATTATCATTTTCTGTTCTAAGAGGTTACCAGCTTCCTGGCTAAGTAAGTAGGGCTGCTTATGAAATGCAAGGACTCGTTTGCCTTTTAAGATTTGGCACCATAAAATGCTGATATAATGCAGTACGTTGCTCTGTTGGCAAAAATTAGTGCTTGGCACCAGATTTTGTAATATAAAGCAACATGTTTTGTAAGCACTACTGCTTTGTCATCATACCCTAAGTAAATGCAATACTGAACTAGTCAATACCACTATCCTAGGTAGCAACACTATATCATATACCATGGTGTTAAAACTCAATTTCTTCATTGTGTGTGTGTAAGATCTGATTGAGTCCCTAGGATGCTGTTCCAGTTCCTGGGAACACTGTGAATCCCTCAGAGTTGCCTGTGCGTAGAAGCTCTGCTCCCTGGCTAACAGACAGTCTGACCTTTTCCGTCCCCACTTCCCTGCAGATTCAGTTGGACATGTGGGCTCTTGTGGGAAGGAAAGAAGAGGAAAGATCTTATGCCTCCATGGAAGACTATCCGCACCTTCAGAGTAAAGCAGACAACTACAGAAGACAAGGCTTACCTACAAAGCCCTCCAGCAGGGCTGCTTCCCACATAGCCTGGCTAATAATCCCAGTGGCACAGGTCCCTCGAAGCATAGGAAAAGCAGCCAGGAGACACTACAGACCCACTCCTACAACCTCAAGGACAGGGTGAAGGCCCAAATCTAAGCTTGAAGAGGAGCCCAGTAGGAGCAGAATTGACAGGAAGTGTTAGTTATAATTTGTGAACCATTTGTGCTGGAAGAGAAGTGGTGGAGGGGTGGAGGTCCATTTGGGAAAGACCTCAAAGAAGAGGTCAAGTCATCTTCACTGAGTCTGCCACTCCCTACAGAGGGAAGATGAAGATGTGGTGCTATTCAGCAGTCACTGCAGCCGAAAGCGCTGTGATTTCAGTATATGGAGGAAAGAAGTCACTAATGGACAAGACTTTCTCAAGAACTGGACTCCACTAACCTATACGAAACAATTGCTTAGAATGTGGGTTTCCTGACCAATGAGTCACATCTTGTGCCAAAGTAATCACTTTGCTTTTCATGCTTTTCCTATGCTTCGAGGGACCTGTGCCACTGGGATTATTAGCCAGGCTATGTGGGAAGCAGCCCTGCTGGAGGGAAGGAGGTGATCCTGCCCCTCTACTCTGCTCTCGTGAGACCTCACTTGGGAGTATTGTGTGCAGTTCTGGTGTTCTCAACATAAAAAGGACATGGAACTGTTGGAACAAGTCCAGAGGAGGGCCACGAGGATGATCAGGGGACTGGAGCACCTCCCGTATGAAGATAGGCTGAGAAAGTTGGGGCTGTTCAGCCTGGAGAAGAGAAGGCTGCGTGGAGACCTCATAGCAGCCTTCCAGTATCTGAAGGGGGCCTATAGGGATGCTGGGGAGGGACTCTTCATCAGGGACTGTAGTGATAGGACAAGGGGTAATGGGTTAAAACTTAAACAGGGGAAGTTTAGATTGGATATAAGGAGGAAATTCTTTCCTGTTAAGGTGGTGAGGCACTGGAATAGGTTGTCCAGGGAGGTTGTGAATGCTCCATCCCTGGCAGTGTTCAAGGCCAGGTTGAATGAGGCCTTGGGTGATATGGTTTAGAGCGAGGTGTCCCTGCCCATGGCAGGGGGGTTGGAACTTGATGATCTTAAGGTCCTTTCCAACCCTAACTATTCTATGATTCTATGAAAATGACAGCAGAGGGTGGGAATCACCAAGACAACTTACAGCTGTTAGCTGGTCCCCAGTGCTACACAGGAGTATATAGAGCAAGATTCAGAAGTGAGTAATGAAGAGACAAAACAGTAAGTGGACTAAACTGTTAAGCTTTATCCAAAGTAAAGCCTCTTTGGCTACATTTTCACTGACTGACTTTTTAAGGATAATGCGCTAATTACACAGTAAGAAATCATACAGTACCCCATAGAATTATTACTTAAAATGAAATGACTGAATCCAGTATGCAGAGAAAGAGTTGCTGCCAGGGGACACTACAACAGTGGTTATTACAAGATAAAAGTTACCTAGGAAGAAGAAAGGACACCAGCACTGTTTTTCAAAGATCAGTCAACCCTTATATATACATCAGCGGCCTGGGAGAAGTAGCGTAGACTTGTAAAACTACTTGACAAGAGAAACTTAAGACATAATAGAGATCGCACACAGATTGTTAAGAAGAATTATGTGGCCTTTCCAGCTGAAACAACAGAAGTAAAATAAGACTGAGCAGTGCAGCATCTTACATTTAAAACCTGGTAACAAGGACTTAGCAATTCACCATCTGGAGCTGCTTCAGTTACTGGGAGATGATGGTGATGAGTAACCAGCATGATGCTGCTGTCTAATATGAAGGCTCTAGGATGTGTTAGGGCAGGTACTTTCCTTTTTAGTCAAAATACGGGAGTTAGGAAATTAGCATTAAGGCTCAGAAATCCAGGTACAGCACCACTGCACTAAGTGTAGCAGGAAACTTGCACATACTGAAACAGGAGACCTCCTGCAAGGTACCCATTAGAGTCAGTCAAACACTGGGATCTGTGAGCTGACCCAGGCCCTTCTCAGAACTTAGGGGCTAAAAGTTGCAAGATGTGATGAGGATTGGCTTCATCTTCAGGAAAAGCATGTGTGCTTTGCATGACAGCCACCCCACAGCACAGAAGTATGACTGCCTTATGGAGAGCAGGTCACTGGAAATTCCAATCGATGGGCACAAGCATGTGCTTCCCTTGCCTCACACACCCAAAGCCCGGGTCAGGATATTACACAGCACAGAAGCATTCAGTTTCTGACAGTGCTCAGCGGGCCCTGAAGCAGAGACCCGGCCAGCTGCGGCTAGCCAGCCATGTACACAGCTGAAAGGAGTGACCCGCGATGGAACCCGCGGGGTCCTGCACGGCCGGGAGGGTCTGCCGGCGGCCCCGCGGACACCGGGCTGCAGCAAGCACCGCGTCCCCCGGCTCCCACCCAGCCCGCGGGCCGTGGGGCTGCCACAAGGCCCCACGAAACTGCCTGCCCGGGCCCGACCCCCGCGGACGGCAACCTCCCAGCCCGGCCCTGGCCCCGGCCCCCCGGCACCTACCCAAGCGCTGCGCCAGACAGGTGGAGGCGGTGTCGGAGGGGTCCCCCAGGAGCGAGGTGGCCACCGGGATGCTGTCCTGCAACCGGAGCGCAGCAGAGGCACCGCTTAGTCACCGGCAGCGCGGGGCGGGAGCGCCGGGCAGAGGTGCGGAGGGCCCTCCGTCCGCCCCTCCTTCCCTCCCTCCCTCCCGTTGGCCGCGGGCCCGGCAGCCCAGAGCAGGCGGCGGGGACACTCACCCGTGGGTTGCACATGGCGACAGCTAGGCTGGCGAGGGCGGGCGCGGCGCCCACCCAGAGGAAGAGCGAGTCCCGCAGCCGCATGGCGTGGAAGTGCACCCGCTGCTCGCCCAGCCGCCCGCTGAAGTCGTGCAGGGCGATGCCTCCTCCTCCCCTTGCCGCCGTTGCCCCCCCGCCACCCGCCGCCTCCATCGGCCCTTCTCCCGGCGCGGCCAGGCCTCAGCAGGCAAGGCCCGACCGGGCGGGCCCCGCTGCCCAGGGAGGCGGTGCATTCGCCGCGCCCGCCCCGCCGCAGCCGCGGGGCCGCCTCCGGTATCGGCGCTGCGAGGCTTCAGCCGGCTTCAGGCACGCCCGGCGGCACCGGGGGTTGCACCGGCCCCCAGCGTGTGGGCCCCGGGTGTGCAGGCACCCCCCCTCCGTGCAAGGCTCCCCTTCCGCGGGTCACACGGGTAGCACCGGGCGGTGTACGCTCACCCCCACACCGGCACCCTCTTACACTCCCCGTTCCCCCTTTCCGCGCTCCCTCCGCGGGGGGCAAGGGGTCGGGATTAACGGGAAGCAGCCGCAGGGATGGCGGCGCCCACTAGATGGCAGGTGAACCGCTGCCTAAGGGGCTCAGGCGCTTGGTTTAGCCAAAACCCGGGGTTTGAGGCTAAAGGGAAGGGGCTGGCGTGGTGCTGTGCAGCCTCAGAACCACCCCGGGGAGGAGAGGAGGAAGGTGGCGGGAGGCCTCGGCTTCATTCAGCTCTGGAGGTTTTCAGGGTTATGGGGGATGTCCAAAGCAAGCGAGGGGAAGCTGGGGTATGTGGAGCTGTGAATAAGTAAAAGCCCCGCTTTGGGTATGAACTGTGCCCCACACACTTTCGCGGGAGCCCAGCTAACCTGGTCCTTCATCGTTGAAAAGGATTCCCCTTAATGGTACCATCTGCTGCTGATAAGAGTATGGGTGGCATGCCAGTGCAAATATGCACTGAGAATGTGTCTTCACGCCAAGGGTAGGGTGAGCATCTTGCATAAAGAACAAGCGAGTTCATCATATAGACTGGCTTTTTAGTCAGTATTTCCTCTGCCTCCAATTTCATACATGCTTCTAGGAATCAAAATTTCTATTTCCAAATTCTAAACCTCCATTTTCCCATGGAAAAAATGGGGGGAGTGGAAGGGGGAGGACCCATTCATCACTTTTCTTCCCTAAGCAGCTTTGGTTCTTCGTAGCATCTGCCAAAAGACAAAATCCTTAGCCCTGCTAATTTCTGCCCGTACTGCTGCATTGATGCTAAATCCCAGGAGTCAGCTAAGCCCAGCTCAGCTGCCAGACCCTGACATCCCATGGCACAGGATCAGCTTGGGGTGATGGGGGGGGAGGGTCTCACAGGCCACCTCTTCTGCCCTACATTTGTCCCTTGCTGCTGGCACAAGGCATTATGGGCTGTATGGAAGCAGCATCAGGCCTGTACTGGTCCTCAGCTCACCACAGCCTATCCCAACCCTTTGCCTTCCCCTGGGCTGGCCTCCTGCAAGGTGAGCGTGTGCAGAAGCGGAGGCATGTGCTAGGGCTCAAAAATCAGCGTCTCCCTGTCCAAGCAGCCTGACATTTAGCCTGTGGTAGCTGAGGGGGTCAGGCAGGCAAGTAAGTGACAAAAAACACCTTGAAAGGGGGTGAGTGCCGGCTGTCTGCACCAAATGATTCCCTCTGCATCCTGTTTGTCTCTCCTGCAGGTTCGCTCTGCACTTCGTGGGGGGCTAAGTGCACCAGCTACAGTAACAAAACCCATCACAGGCCGGGAGCTTTGCAGTAATAAGAATCTAGGCACTGGATAAATAGATACCTGCTGGGAGCCACAGAGGTGGTAGTGGTGGTGAGGTTCCTGGGATTAAACACCTGAGGGTTATGAAAGAGATGTGCCCCAGGCTTGCTTGATCAGGGGAGAGAAGCAGGCAGTTTTAGAGCACAGTTCATCTGACCTCCTTTAGATCTCTCTTTTGAGTGAGAAGCATCCCACTCCTGACCAATTTCCATTGGCTCCAAGGGAGGTTAAGGTGAAAGGTAAGACATGCCCAGCTTTGCATACAAATTTATTCACATAGGCAAATCCTTCCTTAAGCGTTCAGGGCCAGTTTCTCTGCTACACAGAGACAGCGACAGAATTGGCTTCTGCAGTAGAGCCCCAGTGGAGGAGCTGCTCTAATAAAGCTCCAGCACAGCGTGTCTCTTCCCACCAAGTAGAAATTTAGGGTTCCTTGCATGCTAAACCTTGCATGCTTAAATGATCTGCTGGACTGAAGTAAGAGTATGCTGCTTTCTTCCCTAGTTTTTCTACATCAAGTACAAGTTTCTTGCATTGCTTCCAAGGCTGTCTACAAGCTTGCTTCTCCCTAGGGGGGAACTGCCCCTGTTTCATCATGCTCTCATTTCTTTCTCTTCCCACCAGGAGTCTTCTCCAAAATGCTTGTAGCTTTCCTTGGGATCCTAAGCCCTGTGGACCTCTGAAGGTAAGTCACAGGTTTCCTCTGTTCATAAGCACTTCTACGTATTTAATGCTGTTCTGTGAAAGGTAGCTGCTATCTGTAAGCTGTGCTAATCTTTGTTAAGAACAAAAAAGGGAAAGCATTCTTCTACCAAGCAAAATGCTGAGTAAGCATTTTTATTTGCAATGCAGATGTGAAGAGTGAGTGGGAGCTGTGCAGAACCAGACCATCAAGTATGAAATGAATATCCTAATTACAGCACTGCAAGGCCATCAGAGCCTCTGTAAAATAAGAGGAGAAAACACTCCAGCAGCACATGAAATCTCTTGTGTTTCCTTTAACATGCTCATCTTTTTTGCTGCGTCCATGAAAGCAGCACCCATGAATCTGCCTTATTTATCAGGTTTGAGGCCAGAACCAGCCTCTGCTGCAGTGAGACACTATATAGCAAACTAATGATAAAGCAGAGATACTGTAGCAAAAGCACCATATGTGTATCTATACTGCTGCTCAGATGGGATCCAAGTGGTTTAAATGTATGTGCTTCTATGCTTGTTGCTCTTTCCAAAAGTTAGGTGACCCACAAGAGTTACTAGATCCTAAACACTGCTTTTTACCTCACATTGTCTCCCCTCCAGTACAGTTTTAAGCCAGGAGTAAATCTTCTTCCTGGTAGCTGAGGAGTTCGGAGATGTAAAGCACATAGTTATGAACTGGGTTGCCACCAAAAGAAGCGAATGTTTTCTGATTCCAGAATACCTTCTGCTTTTTTGTTCCTGTGTGAGCACAGTGTGAATTTGATGTTTGAGAAAGCAGCTGACCATTATAGTGTGTCAGTGCTTCCCCTGTTGATGCCTTGGGACATGCTAGTTTTCTTGATCTGTTGTCCTTTTGCAGAGGAGTAAATGACTGCCTGATAAAGCCACATGAAGCCTCCAGCCACCTTGGTGAGGGTCCATGCTACCAAGCTGCTGTAACAGTAACTCTGCTGCAGCCCAGGCTTCTAGGAGCCTGTTTTGCGTTGAGACTTCCCTCAGTGGCACTGGTGGCTGAAGGGGTCCTTCTCTCTTCCTGTGCCGTAGGGAGCTGAAAATAACACTTCCTTTTTCTGTTATCATTGGATTTGTTTTTCTCAGGGGGATCAGTCCTCTGATGTAACTTGTTGTTTCACTGCTCAGATACTTGTGCTGGTATCATGAAGGGCAGCACCAGGCGAGCATGGGCAAGCAAGGAAGGGAAAAGTGTCTCTGCTCACACTGTGCAGTCACCAGGGTCATCTCAACCAACTTCAGATGGGGCTGTCACAGTCCTGCTCTCTTAGCATTCATCTGATGTGCTGGTGAATCAGCCTGGGGAAACAGACTGTTCAAAAACTATTGCTGGGATCCCTGGGATGAGATGTTTATTTAGTTGTGGTAGGGAACTGGTCCTGAAACATCTAACCATGGCCACAGAGCTCTCTTAATCTCTTTGAGGACTCAAAACACTTTGCCAAGTGTTGATCAGCCTGACTTATTGTCCTATCAAAGAGACAGGAAGAAAAGAGACAGGGGCTTAAACTTTTGACAGAGTTGCAGAGAATGCGGGAATTGGGCTGCCTCACATGAAGATCACAGTTTAGGAGACTTGCAAGGGAAGTACCCCAAATCCATGCTATGAATCTCATGATCCAAAGCAATATCAAGGACAGCCCCACCTCCCACCACCAAGCCTGTGTCTGAAAATAAAGCCATAAACAAATGCAAAGCGTAGATGTACAAGCAATTCCATAGCTGCAGTAGCTGTTGTGACAGCGTTAACACAGCTACTATAGTAAATCCTCAGTGCATTTATTGGTACTTAGGCAGACATTGCTCTGAGGAAATCCAGTTCTTGATTTCCATAAGACTGAAGGTACCAGTTTCTTCCCTTGAGGAAATCCTTCTTTATTTTTTTATGGTACTCATAACCTCAGCTGTCAGGGTTTCCCTGCCTGGGTGGGATGAGGCCTGGGATGCATGTGCCGTGGTGATTCTCTGGTGGGCAGCTTGTCATGATCCACTGTGCAGTGTGTTTGGCTAGAGCAGGGCTGCCAGGTTTTGTGCCCAGCTGGCATAGTGACCTTGTGCAAATCCTCTCTACTCTGCTTTATCTCACTCCTCTGCAGACTGGAAGAGAACAACCTTTGCCTATTGCAGCTGAATGGAGGTCTGTGTAACACACAGCTTGTTGGGAAGTTTGTGAGCCCAGGCTAAATTTCTGCTGTTATCAAATGAGTCGTTTTCCTTTTATTGTTATATGAGTCACTGGAGGAATTTGTCTTAGATCTCCTGGAACATTTGAGACACATTGGTTCATAGCTGCTGGACGGGATGCACTAATACGGTGTGACTCATCGCTCCCCTCAGGGACAAGAAGAGGTTTAAAGCAGTCAACTGGAAATCATATTTTATATGCAGATAGACCACTTCACGGTGGAGAATCCTGAAGCAGCTTACAAACACTGACCCTGGTGTATAAAAACCAGCAGCTGTAGTGATTTCTGCAGGTGCAATGGGCTATTGCATACCTGTGACCTGACGGGGAAGGGAACAGGCATGAAAGCCTAATGGAACTGAGCTTTTGAAAGGCTGAGAAGGAAAAAAAAAAAGAAAGAGATAGTATTGAAAAATTTTCCCTTATGTTCCTCAATACAATGCTGAGATCTCACATGACATGCAACACACCTGATGGATCCTCTTTATTTTCCTGTCCTTGAGTCACTAAGCAGGACACAAGGCTGGGGTACGTAAGATACATAGGGTATGTTGTGTGCTTGAACCAG